CTCTTCTCTTCTCGTAGTGTCTCTTATATTCTATTAGTATAGTATATGTTTATCTCTGCTTCTCTCTCTCTCTCTCTCTTTCTCTCTCTCTCTCTCTCTCTCTCTCTCTCTCGTTCTCTGTATCTCTCTCTCTCTCTCTCTTGACACGTCTCTCCTTCGTTCTCGATATCTCTCTCTCTCTCTCTCTCGTGTCTCTCTCCCTCTCTCTCTCTCTCTCTCTCTCTTTCTATGCGTGTTTGCGTGCGTATCTCTCGCGCGCCGCGGGGAGGGGAGACTGGGGGGAGCAGGAGGAAGGGACGACGGTAAGGAGGAAAAGGAAGACGAGGAGGAGGAGAAGCAGGAGAAGAGGAGGATGAGAGGGAGAATAAGAGGGAAAACGGGGTAGGAGCAGGGAAGAGGAGGAAAAAAAATCGTAAGAAGGGAAGGAGGATGAGGCGGTGGAAGGAGCGCGGAGGAAGAGAGTCAAGAGGGAGGAACGGGAGAAGAAGCTGGGGACGTAGGGAAGAGGAGTGATGAGGGACGGAGAAGGAAGGAGGAGAACGGGGAGCGGGAGCAGGAGGAGGAAGGCAGGTGGGAGGCTGGAGGAAGTGGAGAAAGGGGGAAGGGAGGATGAAAAGGAGGAAGGGGGGGAAAAGGAGGAGGTCAGAAGCAGGGGGCAGGGAGGTGAGGAGAAGGGGGGGAGAAGAAGAAGGCGGTCAGGAGTGCAGACGACGACGAGGACGAGGACGACGAAGACGACGACGACGACGACGACGACGACGACGACGACGACGACGACGACGACGGCGGCGGCGGCGACGTCCCCGACGACGACGACGAAGAGTAAGAGCGAGCAGACGGGCACAAACCAGCTGCCCCCAGGGGCCGCCCCCCGCAGCAGCACGGTCGGCCGAGAGCGCAGAGCGCCCTGATCGCCGCCACCATCCTCATCATTTGCATCATCATCATCATCATCATCATCATCATCATCATCATCATCATCATCATCATCATCATCACCATCAGCAACATCATCACCAACCTCATCATCACCACCACCACCACCAACAACAACAACCAAAACAACAACAACAACAACAACAACAACAACAACAACAACAACAACAACAACAACAACAACAACAACAACATTACCATCAACATCATTATTACCAGGATCACTGTCCCCGGACTGTCGCGGTCGTTCCTCCTCGGGTCCGTAGTCTGGCTAGTGCCTGGAGCAGGCCGTTCCGGCCTCACTCGCAGGTGCTGCGGCACGCGGCGGGGTGCAGCAACACTCGCCGCAGTGCACTGCGAGGTCCAAGCTGGTGCTGAACGCCAGCGTGGTCGGATCCCCGCCTGTGCCCACCTACACGTGAATTTCCTGTTCTTCCGGCATGAATGCGACCATAAATCATCATCACCAGCATCAGCATCCGCATCAGCATCATCATCAGCATCAGCATCATCATCAGCATCATCATCATCATCATCATCATCATCATCATCATCATCAGCATCAGCATCAGCATCAGCATCAGCATCAGCATCAGCATCAGCATCAGCATCAGCATCAGCATCATCAGCATCATCATCATCATCATCATCATCATCATCATCATCATCATCATCATCATCATCATCAGCATCATCATCATCATCATCATCATCATCATCATCATCATCATCATCATCATCATCATCATCATCATCATCATCATCATCATCATCATCATCATCATCATCATCATCATCATCATCATCATCATCATCAGCATCATCCGCATCATCAGCATCCTCAGCATCATCATGCACCTGACCCAGCACGTTGGCAACGGCGGTGCAGGAGTTCCCGTCCAACTATGCCCCGCGGGCCCTGGATGTCCCTCGTACGCTGGCGGAATCGGCGCCAGGCAGTCTATGGGCTCGGCCTATCCATCTGGCGCCACTTCATTGTCTTTCTCTCGCCGAGAGTTCAAGTTGGGTGCTGCGACCACTTCTGCGCCGTCGCAGCGTCGCACGCCTACCTCGTGAAAGTTTTAATAGTGTTAGTAGTATGAGTGTTAGTGTTATTGGTATTTACTAATGGTATGGATAATATTATGAGTAGTAGAATAGCATTATGAGTTTCATGTTCGTGTGATAACTAGCTTTACGAGGCTTACCATAACTGTTATTATTGATTGTTTCATTCGCATTGCTAGTTGTATCATTAGAACCCGTATGATTACTAGTATTAACATTCGCATGATCATGATTATTAGCCTTAGTGGTGTTACGATGTTTGGTAATACGATTAAAATTGCCAATGCTAGTGATATCGTCAACCGTATGTGTTGTGTGATTAATATTAGTAGTAGTATCACCATTATTGCTATGATGACTATTGTCGCATGTGTTGTACTACTAATATGTGTTTATTCGTCTTCGAATTCTTCATACCATTATTACTATTATTCTTCGAAGAATTATTAGTCCTGAACCTTATTAGTGGAAATGCTCGGACTACGAGTGTTGGTCTTGATATACGACTGAATGCCGTCTTCTTCATATTTTGATTGCTATCATTGCGGTTTAGCGTAGCAGTTCCGACTTGAATTCGCAGTATGCTTATGACTATTATGCGTGTTCTTCGTACTGCTATTGCTATTATTCGCAATAATAGCAATACCCGTCCTATGCAAATAATTCTTGATATGATTAACTCTATTCTTCTTATAAGTATTAGTCGCAGTCTGCTTCTTGATACTATCACTATTACCACTCTTCTGAATTTAAGTGTTGTTCAAGGTCAGGCTCCCCCTCGTTCCGTCGAGGGCGTAGTTGGGCATCGTGGAACTATACATATCTTCATAGTCCGCCGACCCTGTTCTGTTTGACTCGTCGTCGTCGTCGTCGTCGGCGTCGTCCTTGTCATCGTCGTCGTCGTTGTCGTCGCCGTCGCGTTTGACCCCCCTTTCCCTGCGCTCGTCGTGTTGCCCCCCCTTTAACAGGGCCCTCCTCCTCAATCGAGCCAAAGCGAGCCAGCCAAAGCGGAACCAAAGCGAAACTAAGCAACAACGTCGCTGAGTGGAAGGGAAGCCCCTGCTCTTTGATCCCGCCCCCCCCCGGGGGTGGTCCCGGGGCGGTCCTGGGGGGGTCATGGGGGGGGATCCCTTGGAGGGTCTTGGGGGCGGTCCCAGGGGGGTACAGGGTCAGAATACCAAGGCAGCCCAACAGGCCCCCAAGACGATCCAAGAGGGCCCCGAATCGCCGAACAATTGGTCCCAGACACCAAACACAGCCTCCTGACAGCCAAAACAGCTCCCGAGACAACCGAAGAGGCCTCCAAAAAAGCACACCACGAGGACCCCAACAGGCAAAATATAATGAGTTCTTACGTTCTGTTGCAAGCTTCTGGCGTCGCCTTTTCGGCTTCCCGACACCCCAAGACGGCCCAAGATGCCACCAAGATCGGCACAAGAGTTCCCCAAGAGGTTTCTAAGACGGCCCCGAAACGACCCAAGAGGGACCCAAAACGGCCCCAGAGGCCTCCCAGATGGCCCAAGAGGTCCTAAAAACGCTTTCCACAGGATGCCCACACGGGAGCCCGAACGAACACTTCGAGCCCTCGGCCCCGAGAAGCTCCCAGGAGGCCCCAAGAGGCCCCCACGAGGCCCCAACGATGCCCCAAGAGGCCCCCAACAAAAGGCCCCCAGGAAGCCCGAAGAAACCCCCAAGAGGCTCCCGAGGCCACAACGCCGACCCCCAGAGGCCTGCAGGCGCGCTCCGAAGAGGCCCCACGAAGCAACACTGAGGACTCTGCCCCACGTCAGCGTCGTCGTCGCCGCCATTGCCGCCGTCGTGGTCGTCGTCCGCCGTCAGGGTCGGTGGCACCAGCCGCAAGGGCTTCCCAATATGATCTTGGCTTCTTGGCGGCTTTACGGTATCCGCGTTCGTTGGTGTTTCTTGATCTCCTCCCCCGCCGGCGGCACAGACGTTGTGGTCATCGCGCACGTGGGAGACAGGCCCATCGTCGTCTCGCTCGTGGGCGGCGCCATCACAGTCTTCAAAACTGTGGGCGGCAGCTTCGCGGTCTTCATGCTCGTGGGCTGCAGCGTCGTTGGTTTCATCCTCGTGGCTGGCAGTTTCGTTGAGATCATGTTTGTCCAAGCCTGCGCAACTCCTGTGGCGTTCACCCTCGTGAACATCAGCTTCGTGGCGTTCAAGTCCGATGGCAGACGCTTCGTGGTCATCACGTCAGCTTCACGGTGTTCACGCTCGTGGGCAGCAGTTTCGTGGCTTTCCGCTCGTAGGCGACAATTTCGTGGCAGTCACGCTCGTGGGCGGCAGCTTCGTGGTATTCGAGCTCGTGGGCGGCAGCTTTGTGATGATCATTCTCGTGGGCGGCAGCTTCGTACTGTGCCGCGCCCGTGCCGACAGTTTCGTGGTGTTCACGCTGGTGGGCAGCAGCCTCGCGGCGCTCATACTCGCAGGCGGCAGTTTCGTGGCATTCGAGCTCGCAGGCGGCAGCATCGTGGTTTTCAAATTCGTGGGCAGCAACTTCGTGATGATCACGCCCGTGCGCGGCAGCTCCGTGTCGCACGCGGTCGTGAGCGACGGACGACTTCGTGGTGTTTGCGCTCGTGGGCATCAGCTTCGCGGTCCTCACGCCCGTGAGCGGCAGCTTCGCTGCGTTCCCGCTCGCGGGTGGCAGCTTCGGATTGTTCGCGCTCGTGGGCAGCAGCTTCGGGGTGTTCACGTTCGTCACGCTCGTGGGGGACAGCTTCGCGGCGTTCACGCCCGTGGGCAGCAGCTTCGTGGTGTTCACGCTCGCGGGCTGCTGCGTCGTGGTGTTCACGTTCGAAGGCATAAGCTTCTTGATGTTTACGCTCGCGGTTGGCAGCGTCGCGGCCTCCACGCTCGTGGGCGGCAGCCTCGTAGCGTTCACGCCTGCGCCAGCGCACGTGGGCTACAGCTTCGTGGTCTCTACGCTCTTAGGCAGCAACTCCGTGGTGCTCACCCTCGTGAGCGGCAGTTCCGTGGTGTTCAAGCTCGTGGGTGCGAGCTTCGTAGTGTTGGCGCACGCCGGCGAGGTCGGCTCCCCGCCTGTGCCCACGTACACGTTGATTGTCCCGCGACACCCATGACACCACAAATTAGCATCAGCATCAGCATCATCAGCATCAGCAGCAGCATCATCATAAGAGTAATCAGCACCATCATCATAGTCATCATCATCATCAGCAGCATCATAAGCATCATCATCAGCATCATCATCCTCATCATCATCATTCTCACCATTATCATCCTCAGCATCATCATCATCAGCATCATCATCATACTCATCATCCGCCATCATCGTAATCAGCATCATTATCATCACGAGCAGCATCGGCATCATCATCATCATCATCATCATCATCATCATCAGCATCATCATCATCATCCTGTTCATCATCATCATCATCAACAACATCACCATCAGCCTCGTCCTCATCAACATCATCATTATCATCATCATCATCATCATCATCATCATCATCATCATCATAATCATCATAATCAGCATAAGCATCGTTCGTCATCATCATCAGCATCAGCATCCTCATCGTCAGCATCAACATCAGCAGCATCATCAACATCAGCAGCAGCATCCGCATCAGCATCAAAAGCAACATCATCCTGATCATCGCCCTCATCAGCATCATAATCATCAGCATCATCATCACAATCGTCAGCATCATCGTCATAATCACCATCATCACCATCATCAGCATCATCATCCTCATCATCTGCATCATCATCCGTCGTCATCGTCATCGTCGTCGTTGTCGGCAGCATCACCAGCAGCAGCATCAGCAGCAGCATCATCAGCAGCATCAATGTCGTCGCGGTCATCACCAGCAGCATCAACATCAAACGCATCATCGTCAACAGCAGCAGCATCATCACCGTCAGCATCATTACCCTCCTCCTCCTCATCATCGTCAGCATCATCATGAGGATCGCCGTCATCATCACCATCATCATCAAAATCGTCAGCATCAGCATCATCATCAACAACAGCATCATCATAATTATCACCATCAGCATCCACAATCCGTAGTCAACCATCCAGGGTCATCATCAGCATCATCATTGTCGTCGTCCGCATCCTCACCCCCATCATCATCATCATCATCATCATCATCATCATCATCATCATCATCAGCATCAGCATCAGCATCAGCATCAGCATCATCATCAGCATTGTCGTCCGCATCCTCATCATCATCAGCAGCAGCATCATCATCAGCATCATCATCCGGCGTCGTCATCGGTGTCGACGGCATCATCATCATCATCATCATCATCATCATCATCAGCAGCAGCAGCATCATCATCAGCGGCAGCAGCATCATCAGCATCAGCATCGAAGTCGTCGTCGTCATCGCTGACATCATCGTCGTCAGCATCATCATCAGCGTCATCATCCTCGTCGTCATGAATCACCACCATCATACTCACCAGCAGTGCCATCCTCATCCTAATCATCATCATCCTAGTCATCATCGTCATCATCATCGTCACCATCATCAGCATCATCAACATCGTCAGCATCACCCTCATCATCACCATCATCAACCATCAATAAGCCAGAATCGATCATCCAGAATCATCACCATCATCATCATCGTTATCAGCAACTGCATCATAATCATCGTCGTCCTTATCATCATCCTAATATTCATCCTCATCATCATTATCAGCATCGTCGTCATCATCATGATCTGCATCATCCGCATAATCAGCATCAGCATCATCAGTATCATCATCCTCATCATCATTAACAGCATCATCATAATCATCATCAGCAGCATCATCATCACCATCATCATCATCATCATCATCATCATCATCATCATCATCATCATCATCATCATAAGTATCATCATCAGCATCATCATCATCATCACCTTCACCATCACCATCATTATCACCATCACCATCACCATCCTCATCCTCCTCCTCCTCTTCCTTCTCATCTCCTCCTCCTCCTCCTCCTCCTCCTTCTCCTCCTCCTCCTCATCATCCTCCTCCTCGTTATCCTCCTCCTCCTCCTCCTCCTCCTCCTCCTCCTCCTCCTCCTCCTCCTCCTCCTGAGAGCCGTGCACGGGAGGGCTGCGCATGCATTGGGCGGCGCACCGCCACACCACACAGAGCAGATCCACTCCAAGTTCGCTGGCCCCTTTGGGGTCTGAATCTGTGACCCCCCCACACAACTACAGTCAACCCGTAGAATAAGGATGCGCGACAAGGATGCAAGGGCCTTGGACGCCCATTTCGAAGCGTTTACAAGTCCACGAAAGTGTCCAAGGATGGACCCACGAAAGTGTCCAAGGATGGACCCAGAAGGCAAGGATGCAAGGGTACCCTTGGGAGGGATGCCTGTCCTTACTCTGCGGGTCGACTGTAGCCCCAAGACTGCCCCAGAGGCCGCCGAGAGGGCGCCAAAGGGAGGCGCCCAAAGGGAGGAAGCCGCACTGGCCTTGGGCGCCTATCCCCTCGAGGGGTCCCCAAGAGGTTTCCACGGGCCCAGAAGACACCAAGAGAGCTCCTAGAGTTGTGAATGCCATGACAATGCACACTCTAACAATCCTATTACTGAATAAAAGATGTGTTTAAGATGTGTATAACGTGTTGCAAAAATGTGTCAAGCATTTTTAATATAAAAAAAAAAAAAAAAAAAAAAAAAAAAAAAAAAAAAAAAAAAAAAAAAAAAAAAAAAAAAAAAAAAAAAAAAAAAAAAAAAAAAAAAAAAAAAAACTACATGTTCGAAACATATTTGAGACATCTGGAAATGATTTGGCAGCACGCTTCCTCTCCATTAGTCGACTTCCACAATGCTAAAGGCCCTCAAGATTGAAGGGGCCCCGGGACACACAAATAAACACACACAAATAAAAATATTCCCCATACTTTCCCATATTTTCTAAGTTTTTGTCTTCCCCCCCCACTTCCCATATCTTCCCATATTTTCTGGGGAACCGACGATTCATTGTGTCTGTGTGTTTTTTCCCCTCCTGAAAGATGTACGCGAGGAGCCCCAGAAGCCCCCCAGAGCCTCCAAAAAGGCATCCGACATGCCTCCGAAACGGCAGCACGGCACGGCAGGCTGGCACGGCAGACGCGCGGGGCAAACCAGCCCGGGTGCAGGCTGCACGCGCTCTGGACGCTCACAGCGCGAAGCGACAGCAGCGTCAGGACAGGACACTGATACTGAAGGGGCCCCAGGACACACAAATAAATGCACACAAATACAAAGATTCTCCATAATTTTCCCATATTTTCGGGGTTTCTTTCTTCCCGCCCAATTCCCATATTTTCCCATATTTTCTGGGGAATCGCCGATTAATTGTGTCTGTGTGTTTTTTCCCTCCTGAACAGCGCGAAGCGACAGCAGTCTCAGGACAGGACACTGATACGAGCAAGGCGTGGGGGGGTAGCTATGAACCCTCCTGGCTGAATGCAACTGGTGATGCACCGGCGTGCCATGGCAACTCCTCCTCCTCCTCCTCCTCCTCCGCCTCCGCCTGCTCCTCCGCCTGCTTTCCCTGGAGGTCCCCGCCGGTCCCCGAGGGGCCGCCGGCGGTCCAAAACCGGCGCGTCCCAGGAAGACATGTGTCATCGAACGTCGAGGATCGGCGGAGTGCGGGCGCGGCCAGCCTCCTGCGCCTTCTTCTTCATCAGGTGCTCGACGACGCCTGCCGCCGCCGCTTCGGGGAGGGGGGCAGCGAGGACGCCGCCTCTCCTCGAGACGGATGGGAGCTCACACGCAAGGGGGTATACACAGACGCATGTGCGTGTGCATCTCTGCAGATGTAGTGGGATACAACATACCGACTAGAACAACGAGCGCAATTCGCGCTCGCTGAGGTTCTAGTTCGGGCGTTCGCGTCACGGGCTGCCATGCTGGGGCATTAGAGGAATTCGCTGGCCCGCCTCACGCGGCGGGGTCCGCCATGCGCACCACTCCAGGCGGAGCACAATTTCCACGCTCGCTACGCACGCCAGCCGAACGAGGCACGCAAAGTGCCCACGCAGGCCGAGCACGCCAGTCACCACTGCTCGTGTTTCAGCGCCCTCCTGGGAGCCAGCCACATCTCCTCCTGCCCCTGCCCCACTCCATCGCCCTTTCTCTTCCATGCGACCATCACGCAGCCTTCTTAAGGATGCGTTGGGATCTTGTGGAGCGCACTGGCGTCCTCTTGGGGCCCTCCAGAAATCGCTTGGGGCCAGAAGCCCCGTTGGGCCAGGTTGGACTTTCCTGGAGCCGTCTTGGAGCCCGACTGGAACCTTTTCGGGGCGTTGTAGGGCCACGTTGAGGCCAGGGCCTTCCTGGGGCCCTGTGGGGCCGTCGCGGGGCCCTCTTCAGGCAATCATGGGCCATGTTGGGGCCCTCTTCGGGCCCTCTGGGAGCCTCTTTAGGCGCTCGTCGGCTCCTCGAGGCCCCCTTGGAGCCATCTCTGGCCGAAACGCTGGGAATCCCGTGGACGCCTTCAAGCCTCCGAAGAGCTGTCTTGGCACTGGATTGATGCTGACCAGCTCGGGGTTCGATTGGGGCCTGGTGGCCCTCGTGGGGCCGTCGTGGGGTCAGTCTGGAGACTGCTGTGCACGTTTGGAGCATCTCACGATCCTCTGGGAACGTTCAGGGGGCCACATGCGAACCCTGCCCCTACCCCCCACGACTTCTGAGGGGGTCGCTCGGGAGCTCCCGAACGAAGTGAACCCCACCCTCCCCCCTCAGAAATCGTGCGGGGTAGGGGTAGGGTCCGCATGTGGCCCCCTGAACGTCGTCGTGGCATCTTGGCAGACGCCCGGGCCTTCGGAGCTCGTCGGGCCCAGACCCCTGCGAACGGCCCAAGGGATCTCCCAGAGCGGCCGGACCCCCCCAGCGGAGGAGGCAGCACCGCGGAGACCTGTCATTCCGGGAGGTGTAACCAGGAGAAGACCCCCCTGCCTCCTCGGACTCCTCTGGTCGCAGAGAGGCCTGCTGGTTTTGACGCGGGTACCCGCACACCCCACACCGCCTGTGCTCGTCCGCCAGCGCACCCCGCTCGCGCGCTCCGCGGTGTGAGGAAAGACGTAGACACACACACACACACACACACACACACACAGACCGGAGACAGCGGAGGGAAAGGTGGACAGAGCAGATGAAGATGTCATCATGTCCAGCTTCTCCCAACCGAGGCAGGGAGAAGCAGCGGCATGTCACAACAAAATAACGAAGGTCAGGCGTCGACCGATCCGACCACCGAGACCTGCGGGGAACAACAAGACCAGCCCGATGCAAGGCGCGCGTCCGCTTGGGCCAAGCGGGACCAACCGCGCACCTAGACGCCCAACCTGCGATTGCCGGACACTCCTCCCCGGCGGTGACGAAGTTAGCGGAGAGAGGACGAGTGCGGAAGCAGCAGAAAGGAGTAAGCCGAGGAAGGAGGGAGGGTGGAGAGAGGGAGACAGGAGGATGAGGGTAGAGCAGACGAAGGGAAGCCCACCATCGATTGCTATCGTCGAGAAGCGAGCGGGGAGGAGAAGAGCTCGAATCAACCACTGCCTACATCGCGCGCGACACGCCCAAATGCCTCACAGAGACTTCTGCCGTGCTCCTGTCGCGATCATCCTGAAACACGCGCACGTGCGAGCATCCAGCTCATCGTCAAGGCGTTCAGCGTCCGAGAGCCCCGCCCCAATCCACTTCCCCGGACTCGCCCTCAGGCCAGACTCGAGGACGAACTGCAGCCCCGCAGCCTACAGCACGTCTCCAGGGCAGTGCACTCCTCACCCGAGGCAGCTGCGTGCACCCCGAACTCTGCGCATTCGTCGACCCTCGAGGCTCACCTCTTCGTGAGCGTGCTCAGCTCCTCGTGTGGCTTCGTCCTGAGGCGTTCCCTCCTGGCGGCGGCGTGGCCGCAGCAGCAGCCGCCGCCTCCGCCCCGCGCCTGCCGAGCGGCGGCGCAGCGCCCAGGCCGCACAGAAAAACGCCTCGGCGTCAGCCGCCGTAGGGGTCCACATGCGAACCCTACCCCTACCCCCCACGATTTCTGAGGGGGAGGGTGGGGCTCACTTCGCTCGGGAGCTCCCGAACGAAGTGAACCCCACCCCCCACCCCTCAGAAATCGTGGTGGGTAGGGGTAGGGCTCGCATGTGGCACCCTACGCCGACCAGCACAACGGCGCTCTCGTCGGGCACCTCGGCCTCCAACAGGCACGCCCCGAAGGCGCCCCCCGAGCGGGACGGCCCGCCGCCCGCCTCCGCGACGCGCCGCTCGTGGGCCCCGCGCGACAGCCGCCCGGCCCCACCGCGCGGCCCCACCGAGCGGAGGCGTGCCGCGCGGCGCCCGGCACGAGCTGCGGGGCGGCAGCGAGCACCCGCAGGGCCCAGCTGGGGCGGCGGACGACGACGACGACGACGACGACGACGACGACGACGACGACGACGACGACGACGACGACGACGACGACGACGACGACGACGTCACCATCGTGGGGGCGCCGCCGCCAGCGTTGCCGACTACCGACGCCGACGGCCGACGCAGTCGTCGTCGTGGAGGGCCCGGCCCAGCTCGGGCGGCGGGGCGAGAGGGTGCTCGAGGGGACCTCCCGCGCGGGCAGCACCGCCGGCCGCCCCTCGCGCGCGCCCACTGCCGCGGCACGGGCCTCGGCGGTGCCACTCGTGGCCCGGCCGCCGCTGCTCGCCCCGGAGAAAGGGGGGAGGAGGGAGGCGAGGGAGGAGGAGGAGTGTCCACGAGGAGGAGACGAAGGAGGAGGGAGACGAAGGAGGAGGAGGAGGAGGAGGAGGAGGAGGAGGAGGAGGGAGACGAAGGAGGAGGAGGGGGGAGGAGGAGACGAAGGAGGAGGGAGACGAAGGAGGAGGGAGACGAAGGAGGAGGAGTGCCCACGAGGATGGGGAGGCGGCAAGAAGGCACACTCTCCTGGAGGGTCGCGGGAAGGCGGGGCGGAGCTACCTCCTCTCGCCGCGGGCGCGCGAGGCTGGGAACGCCTCCCGCGGCCACGAAGGCAGCCCTCGCCGCCTGGGTCATCACCACCATCTCCTCCTGGGTGGGGCGAGGAGCAGGAAAGAGGAAAAGGAGGTGGGAAGGAAGAAGAAGGATAAGAAGAAGAAGAAGAAGAAGAAGGAGGCGAGGAGAAGGAACGAGGAAGAGGAGGTGGAAAGGGAGAAGAAGACGAAGAAGAAGAAGGAGAGAAGGAGGACAAGTAAGGCGGAGGAGCAGGAGGAGAGCGGGAGGAGGAAAACTGAGGGGAGGAGGAGGAAAAGGAGGAGGCAGAGGAGGAGGCGGGCAGTGACGACCCAACACGGGGAGGAGCAGTAGCAGCAGGAGGATGGTGGTCCGCCTCCTCGGCCGCCCCACGCCGAGGAGACGCTTGCTGCGCTGCCCCCACCGTCTGCCCTCGTGTACTCTGCCAAAAATCGTGCGTACCCTATGTCGCCCTCCTCCCTCCTCCCGCCGTGGTCCTCCTCATGTTTTTTGCTTAATCAGGTCCATCGCTTCCGATCCTCATGATCCTCCTGCTCTTCTCTTCCCGCCTTCCTCCTCCTCCTCCTCCTCCTCCTCCTCCTCCGCCGCCGCCGCCGTTACCACACCGACGCCGCAAGCACGACAACTCCACCGTTACGACGCCGCCGCCGCCGACGCCGCCGTCGCGACGCCGCCACCTTTACGACGCCGACACCGCCGACGCCGCCGCTACGACACCGACGCCGCCGTCACGACGACACCGCCGTTACAACACCGACGCTGATGACACGACGATCTGATGTGTTTTCACCGGGACCGCGATCGCGGCATCGTCTCCGCCTTTACGAGGGGGGTCAAACTCGTGCTGCCTCTTTTGACCTGCCGCCCCTACGCTGGCATCCCGGTTGCGGGATGGACGCCTCGCGGCTCGGCGCCGCTGGCGAGGGAGCCCCTGACGTGGGCGCACGCCGTGGCTGTGGGGAGGGGGAGGAGGAGGAGGAGGAGGAGGAGGAGGAGGAGGAGGAGGAGGAGGAGGAGGAGGAAGCTCGTGCTGCCGGTTGCGAAGCTTGAAACGCCCATGAGATGCACGCATTCCAAGCCACCCTGCTCAAAACAATCATGTTCGAGCGCGACAGTGTGATCACAGATGCTGCCCTGAAGGCAATAAAATCCTACGCCGACGGCGCTTCCAAGCTGGGCAACTATCACCCGTGCGGCAGCCACACTCGAGGGCCTCGAAGAGGCCCACAGGAACGCCGTCATCACGCACCGCTAGCAGGTGACGGACCAGGGGCAGCTGGAGAATATCATCCAACGCGAAACGACGGCCTGAGCGTTCGACAAGAATATGGTCTAGCTTCATCTTGCTGCGCACGCTTCTGTGGAGCATGTAGTCAAAGCTACCTTGCGCGCTCATCAAGTATCCAGTGGCCACCAGATGTACAGGCAGGCGCCCACAGGAGGCCTCGAAAGGGACATTCGGCGCTTGCTCGATGCGCTGGGAGCGATGGTAGCCGACGACGATCGAATCCTGAAAGGGACAGTACGTGAGTTGTGTGCTGCGTCAGTCGCTCCCTGGGTCCTCTCGCTGTGCGCCGTTCCGCCTTTCGAGCTCTACGAGAAAAACGTCGTCAGGGAGGGGGCGCCTGTGACGGGACCGTCCAGGGCCCTCCCGTTCGCTAGAGGTGGGGAAAGGCGGCTTGCGCTGCCGCGAGGCGAACGGCGGGGGTAGAGCTCCGCTTGGGATCGAATTCGACATTGTGTAATTGTCATGCGGGTTTGCGGGAAGTCCTCGGGCAGTCGGTAACCGTAACCTCCTCCTCCTCCTCCGCCTCCTCCTTCTCCTCCTCCTGCATCTTCCTCACTCTCCGAGCCATCGTGAGACGAAGCCAGGACGAGGACCGAATCGGACGAGGACACATCGGGAATCTCCGAGATCTGGCGACTCTTGAGGATGCCTCGGGCGCCGCGGCCTTCACAGAGCGTTCTGGAACGCTCTGAGTGAAGGGGCCCCAGGACACACAAATAAATACACACAAATAACAGGATTCCCCATATTTCCCTATATTTTCTGGGTTGTTGTCTTACCCCCACTTCCCATATTTTCCCATATTTTTTAGGGAATCGAAGATTAATTGTGTCTGTGTGTTTTTTCCCTCTTGACTGAGAGCGTCCTGGAACGCTCTGGAACGGATTCGTCCTCGTCCTGGCACCATCCGCCATCGTCTCCGCTGCGGGCCGCGGGAGGTCACGCCGACGACGAAGACGACGACGCCGACGACGACGCCGACGACGACGACGACGACGACGACGGCTCCCTCCGCTCGGCCGCGGGCCGCCCGCAGGGGAAGCGGCGGGGCGCGGCGGGGTCCGGGATGACGGGCGGCTTGCGCGGGTTGGGCGCGGGCTTGTCCCCGCTCGCCTGCGGCGGGGCGGCGGCCGCCGAGGGAGGGGGCACGGCGGGGGGGGGGGCCCGAGGGGGGCGGCGGAGCGGCAGCGGGAGCGGGAGGAGCGGGAGGAGAGCAGGAGTGAAGGGGCCCCAGGACACACAAAGAAATACACACAAATAAAAAAATTCCCCATATTTTCCCATATTTTCTGGGTTTTTGTCTTCCCCCCCACTTCCCATATTTTCCCATATTTTCTGGGGAATCGACGATTGATTGTGTCTGTGTGTTTTTCCTTCCCTCCTGATTAACGGGCGAAGAACGGGACAAGATCAAGTTGTCCGCCATCTGGGACGCCTGCCCATCGGCGGCCGGCAAATTTAGACCCTCACGGGGGCACCGCAGGGGTCCAAACTCTCCAGCCGCCCATGGGCAGGCGCCCCCGACGGCGGAAGAGTGCATGTTACGCCGCCCTTCGCCCGCCGAAGAGGGCGCGCGCGCGGCCGAGGAGGCCGAGCGGCAGAGGCCAGCGGCAGACCAACCGCGCTCGCACGCGCGCCGCCGGAGGCCACGGCGCGGCCGGCGTGCCAACAGTGGGCGGCAAGGGGCGAGGGACGCCGTCACGGCGGGTTGGGGCCAGGGTGCCCGCGGAGGGGAAGGCCCCCACCAGTGTCTCACTGTCCCCAGGGTCTCCCCACCATTGTCCCGCCACGGTCCCACTCTCCCCACGCGATAATCGCAGCATTGCCATGGTGCATCATGCGAAAGAAGCGAACGACGAAGGCAGGCAGCTCCAATACTTCCAACGTGTGGAGGAGCCAGACCTGAGACAAGCTCGGGAACGCCGACGCGAAGCCGGTCCGAGTAATTGCAGAGCTCGCGTCGTCGCGGAGGTGCCGCACAAGCCCCCGCGCCGCCCCTCCCCACACGGGAGCGGCTGCCTGCCAGGCGCGGCCAGGGCACGGCAGGCTCGCGTCGTGGCGACACCGCGCGGATCGCCCAGCCTTGAAAGATCGGCGGCGTTGCGACGCCCCGGTCGTTCCATGTTGGCCGATTCTGGGCCACTGCCGTGCAGGGAGCGGGTCCGAGCGCAAGGTTTTCATCCAAGGAAACGGAAGGGGAGGGAGGAGGAGAGAGGAGGGAGGAGGGCGGAGGGAGGAGGAGGAGGAGGAGGAGGACGAGGAGGACGAGGAGGAGGAGGAGGAGGAGGACTCGCGCGCCTCTACAAGTCTTCGTTTTCACTGCAAGGATCGCCCGCGGCGGGGCCGCCCGCCGCGTCAGCACCCGACGCGAACCTGCCGTCGACAGGCGGCGCGCCGCTTCCGGTGGATTGCCGGCCTGCTGGGCCGGGGCGCCTGGCCATCTCAGGGGGGAGGAGGGGCGCTGCGCCAGAGCGGGCTCGGAGTGCATGGCCAGGGGTTTCAAGAACTGGCCGGCCCACCAAGGCCACCAATCAGCACAATGAGCGTCGCCGCCGCCACCGTCGTCGCCGTCGTCATCGCCGTCGTGGTCGCCGGGATATCCCAGCAGTCATCGGGCCTCCGCCTTCTGCTGCTCGAAGGCGGGCCGCCGTCCCAAGAGCGATGTAGCGAGTACTGGTGTTTTCGTTCCCACATCACCCTCTACAGCTGGTTCGAGAGGCGCACCAGGCGCCAGGCACTAGAATGTATACCAAACAAATCAGTCAAATGCGAAAGGTCCGCATTCGTTCTGCTATCCATTATCCTGTTCATCATATTCCTCCCCCTCCGCGCACGTTGGCCAGGTTTCAACCGAAACGGCTCTAGCATCAAGTACGAATGGAAAAAAATGTGCAATGTACAACAGAGACATGAGCCAAACGTTGGAAGCGCGCCTCGGCAAACTGCCAAGGAGCGGGTCTGGCGCAAGGCACAGACAACGACACCTTCGGGCAATTTGTTTTGAAGTTGAAGCAGTCGTCGGCGGAAGCCGTGCAAAGTTTGCGAGGTCTCACCGTGACAATCACGACGGCAACATAATAGACCCGTGGCCATCCGGACGAAGGAAAACTCTTCGGATGTGTTGTGACAAATGTTGTGACCTAGGCGAGTGCGAAAATGAGTTACACAGATAATGGTGCTGTCCTGCGAATCTGTGCTCAGAAGCGCGTCGGGACTCCCAGGAACTCGTGGAGCTGTCACTCTCCCGAATCCCCGCAGTGCCCATACCCTCGAACTCGCCCTCCACCCATCCTCCGAGTGAAAATCTGCACGCTTGGGATTGGACGAAAGGGCACCAAACAACTGGCTTCGCTAGCAGAAACGAACACTGGGGAGGTTCGGACGACCCGGGATTGCGTAGCACTGTATGGCGGAGATTCACCTGGCGGAGGGCGCCCCTGCACCTGAGTTGCACCAGTTTTGAGAGCTTCATGTCCGCGCGGGCAACCTGCCTGGACGGCAGCAGACGATTCATCAAGAAGGACTCTTAGAGCTGATAGAATGGCCCCGAGCGCGACCTGCACTCTGCAACTGATTTAACATGTGTTTCGAGGGGTGCCTCTAGGCTGGTGGTCACACGAGACCGCCCTGATCGAGACCTGCGTAGACTCAAGAGTAGAGTCCACACATACAGAATGATTGCGTCCTGGGCCTGCTGAGGAGGAGGCCACGCCAGAACTGCAAGGGTATCAGTCGGAGTTCTGGCAACACACTGTTGCAGCCGGCTGTGAGGGTTGCACATGCCTGGATAATCAGGATCAGCACCAAGACGGGAACTCGGGCACTGCGAAGGCGCAACCAGCCGTAAGAGTCGCACACGGATGGCCCAACAAAAACAATCCTGGGAGCGGAGCTCTGGCAGCAGGAGTATGGCCCCGTCAAACGGGCCCGGTGGCCCCAAGCTGGAGCAGACAGTTCAGTCGGACTTGATTGGAGAGGACACGCGAGAGGACACAGGACTCCTCCGAGGGCCACGCTGCCACAGCAACGTGGGAAGCACGGGTCGCGCGACGCAGGACACAAGGGTACCCTTGATTTGGCGGGGTCGACCTGCTTATCCGGGCCGGCTGTGCACTCAACGCTCCACCTCTTGTATCTCGACACATGGGAGGTCCAACGAGCCGAGGACGACCAGCACGAGCACCCAGACGAAGCAGAGCAGCGGCACGAGAGGGACGTCCAGCTGCGCCTCGATGGAAGCTAGAGCCAAAATGACTACGGAGTCCGGGCTGGACGGTTTCCCCCGGGGCCGCAGGCGACCCGAGGAGGAGGAGGAGGAGTAGGAGGAGGAGTAGGAGGAGGAGGGAGGAGGAGGAGGGAGGAGGAGGAGGAGGAGGAGGCGGAGGAGGGGAGGTGGAGGTGGAGGGGGATGAGGAGGAGGACGGGTCGCCTAAGCCCTTCGGAGAAACCCTCCAGTCCGGGCCGGCTGTGAGGACCCTCCGAGGCGGAGTCGGACAGCGAGGCCGAAGGCGCCACAGGAGCCTGGCAGCCGGCAGGCCGGCGGCGCCCGAGCCGGTGCGAGGCCTGCGCCCGCCGAGGTCACGTCGGGAGGGCAGGGGCAGGGCGAGCGGGCGAGGGCCACCAGGAGGGTGCGATCTCCACGCACATGCACCCACACACTTCTATGATCTATCCTCCTCCTCCTCCTCCTCCCTCCTTCCTCCTCCTCCTCCTCCTCCTCCTCCTCCTCATCCTCCTCCTCCTCCTCCTCCTCCTCCTCCTCCACCTCCTCCTCCTACTCTCCTCCTCCTCCTTCCTCCTCCTCCTCCTCCTCCTCTCCTCCTCCTCCTCTCCTCCTCCTCCTCCTCCTCCTCCTCCTCCTCTCCTCTCTCCTCCTCCTCCTCCTCCCTCCTCCTCCCTCCTCCTCCTCCTCCTCCCCTCCTCCTCCTCCTCCTCCTACCTCCTCCTCCTCCTCCTCCACCTCCTCCTCCTCCTCTCCTCCTCCTCCTCCTCCTCCCTCCTCCTCCTCCTCCTCCTCCTCGCCTCCTCCTCCTCTCCTCCTCCTCCTCCTCCTCCTCCTCCTCCTCCTCCTCCTCATCCTTCCTCCTCCTCCTCCTCCTCCTCTCCTACCTCCTCCTCCTCCTCCTTCCTCTCCTCCTCCTCTCCTCCTCCTCCTATCGTCATCATCGTTATCACCATCCGTTCTATAAATCTACCAATCAATCACTGAATCGACCATCAAATCAATCAATCAATCGAACAATAAATCGATCAAACAACTTATCGTCGTGATCATCATCATCATCATCATCATCATCATCATCATCATCATCATCATCATCATCATCAGCATCATCATCATCATCATCATCAGCAGCAGCATCATCAGCAGCCACATCATAATCATAATCATGTTCATTAACATGATCAACAAAACCACAGCAACAACCATATCATCAGCTTTTTCGTCTTCATCATCAGCCGCATCAGCAGCAGCATCATGATATTCATAATCAGCAACATCATCATCAGCAGCAGCATCGCCGTAAGCAGCAGCATCAGCTGCATCACCACCAGTCAGCATCAGCATCAGCATCAGCAGCAGAATCATCATCATCATCAGGATCATCATCGTCATCAGCATCGCCATCATCAGCATCATGTTCAGCATCATCATCATCATAAACAGCATCATCATGATCATCAGCAGCAGCATCATCGTCATCATCAGCATCATCAGCAGCAGCTTCACCAGCATCACCAGCATCACCAGCATCATCATCGGAATCATAACTAGCCAGCAGCAGCAGCATCATCACTATCATCATCATCAGCATCATCAGCATCATCAGCGTCATCAGCATCAGCATCAGCATCAGCATCAGCATCAGCATCATCAACATCGCCATCAGCATCATCACAACCACTATCATTAGCATCATCAGCATCAGCATCATCAGCATCATCAGCAGCAGCAGCAGCATCATCAGCATCAGCATCAGCATCATCATCAGCATCATCAGCATCATCATCTGCATCAGCAGCATCATCATTAGCATGATCATCAGCATCATCATCATCAGCATCAGCATCAGCATCAGCATAATCATCATCATCAGCATCCTCATCATCAGCAGCAGCATCATCATCATCATCATCATCATCATCATCATCATCATCATCATCAGCATCATCATAGTCATCCGCAAGAGCGGCCGCAGCGGCCTCCGAGTACGGGTTTTCCTTGTCCTTGCCCTTTCCAAACTTGCCCTTGCCCTTGGCGGCCTTCTGCCCCTTTGTGACCACCTCCTGCGGGCGTCGCCGGGGGAGCGGGATGGGGGGAGCGGAGGGATGCAGGGGCGGGGAAAGAGAGAGGGCGAAGCAGGATCGAAGGGGCGGGAGGGGGGAAACGGTGAGGGGTGTGAAGGAGGATCGAAGGGGCGAAGGAGGATCGAAGGGGCGAGGGAGGCTCGAAGGGGCGAGGGAGGCTCGAAGGGGCGAAGGAGGATCGAAGGGGCGAAGGAGCGGGAGGAGGAAATGTGCTGCACTCTGCCGCGCCAGCACCAACACCCGGCGGGCCAGCCTCGGGCCGTGCTCCGGCAGCACGCGGAGGAGGCGAGCAGAAAAACGAGGCCGCTCCCGGGCCAACCCTGGGGGGGGAAAGGCTACACTAGAGGGGCCCCCAGGACACACAAATCGATACACACAAATAAAAAGATTCCCCATATTTTCCCCATCTTTTCTGGGTTTCTGTCTTCCCCCCCACTTCCCATATTTTCGTATATTTTCTGGGAGTCGACGATTAATTGTGTCTGTGTGTTTTTGCCCTCCTGATACACGTCGGTCGGAAGAAGTGGGTAAAAACATGAAGTAGGCAGGCGGATTAAGTTGATTGGGTCCAGGCCCCCCCAGGGAACAACAAAACACAGCAAGAGCGTGTCGATTCTTGAAGTAGGAAGGCGCTTGAAGTAGATTGGGATCTGAGAATCCCAAAACACCTAGGAGGACGATGTGGAGCAGGAGGAGGAATGCAAGGTCGATTGAGCACCTCGCTGGGATGACGGTGACAAGCGGGCTGGCCACACTTCGAGGCCATCTTGACAGGCTACAGGGACAAATTATACTCCAACGCCTGCTCACTCCCACGGTTGCGGGCAGGGTACCTGCGATCTCGGATTCGGCTCTCGTCGGACGAAGCTGCTCAAGACTGGCGGTCAGCGAGGCCTCCAGCGGGACCCCAGACCGAAAGACCCATCGGTGCATGTAGCCGTACCCCCCGTCACGTCGAGGCCGTACCCCTGGAGACTCACGGACTGCGAGCCTCCTCCTCCTCCTCCTCCTCCTCCTCCTCCTCCTCCTCCGCCTCCTCCTCCTCCTCCTCCTCCTCCTCCTCCTCCTTGATGGTGCACCGTGACTCCCGCTCTGCGGGCCCGAGTCGGCGGGCCCCCTGCGTGGGCACGGCGGGAGCAGATCGGCCCGAGTCGCGTCGGGTGCCGACGGGTTCGTTGATGAGAGGGTGGTCGATGATTAGGGAGCCCACAGAGGACGTACGCCCCCAGCTATGTACATGAACACGGCCCCTCGATTCGCAAAACCGGCCGCGCGATACGAACATTTGTGCAATGCGTGCTCTCGAAACCAGCGTGGATTCATGTACATGTACGTCCTTCTTTCGCTTCTGAATGATGAGATGGTGGCCACGATTCCCTGAGATCCCAAGAGAGCCCCAAGATCGCACGGCAACGCCAGGAGGAGGACGAAGAGAAGGAGCAACGAGGACGAGGAGAAGGAGAGGAGGATGGAAGAAAGAAGCCAAAGAGAGGGAGGAGGAAGAGAAAACACCCTACGGTCAGCGCACCTTTTTCGAGCGGCTGCTTTTGGATGGGCCGGTGGGGACTCGCGAAGCGTAAACAATTTGCATCCGAGCTGGAAGCGGTTCCGCGCAATCGCGCGACCGTGGTCCTGCGACTGATCTGAGCTACCAGGCTCTTGAGACGAATACGGTACGGCAGGTTCGTGTCGTGCCGACCCCAGCCTTGGTTTTTGACACCGCAGGGATCGTTCAACCTTGAACGATCGGCCGCTGCCGCAACGTCCGATCGTTCCACATCGATCGATTCTGGATCGCCGGCGGCGTTCAACCTTGAACGCCCGCGCTGGGATCGCCGCTGGTCGACACGACGCAAACCTACCGTACTGCGAAGGCTGGCCAACGGTGCCCAGTGGGCCGACGAGGGGGGGCCCAGGAGGCCCCCAAGACGGCCCCAAGAGCAAGCCTTCCAACATGATCCCAAGACCCCCCACAGACCCCGAAGAGGCCCCCGGTAGGCTCCAAGCAGCCTCAAGGCGCACCCAAGTGGACCACACAGCCCCCAAGCAGCCCCAAAATGTCCCCAAAGCCTTTACGTGACCCAGGCGCCGTGGCGGGATTGGCCGAAGGCCACTCGATTTTCACCCTCTCATTAAAGCAGCCACTGCTCATGGCTCCCGTCGCCCTTCAGCCTCGTGCGCCCAAGCTGTTCTCTTCTCAGGGTTAGCCTCATTCTGGCACACTCCTGACGCACGTCGTGCCTCATGGACCCCCAGAAGCTCTCAAGTGCCCCCCAAAGACAGCTCAAGGGAGCCTCAATTCGGCACACCCTTCACGAACGTCGTGACCCGTAGGCCTCAAGACAACTCAAGGGATCTCAATATGGCACATCCCTCGCGTACATCGTGCCCCATGGGCCCTAGGACAGTTGAGCGATGCCTCAATTCGGCATACCCTCACGCACGTCGTGCTCAATGGATGCCGAAAAATCCCCTAGCGGCCCCAAGAGGAGCCCCAAAAATGATCAAGAAGGGATGGCCCCAAGAACAAAGTTCAACGATGTGTACCGACTCTGGTCGAAGACATACCCCCGCACACCCTCTCATTGCAAAATCTGGGTGCGGCGCAACTCGACCGCAACGAGCAAACCGATGCACGGTTAAGAGCAGATGACGAGGAAAAGCCAAGGTCTCGACAGACTGAGAGCGAACATATCCGAGCAGTCTGCACAAGTGTCGCGACAACAGAGGCTCCTGACCAAAGTATGCCACATGATCGGGTGCGGCAGTGGGAGCTCCGCTCGAGGATACGAGCGCATGTTACTCAATCGCGTCGTCCGCATCCTCCTCCTCCATAAAGATTCCTCAACCCCACAAGTAGACTACGACATGCTGATGTGTATACATATATATATATATGGCAAAAGCATGACGACAACAACACCGTCTGCTGGTCGCGATGTCAGGAGAAGCGTCGCCATGGTCCATGCGCCACACGCACGGGACAACTGGAGAGTGCGCAAGTTGGAAGATCTGCAACAGAAGTGAAGGAATGATGCAGGCTGCCTCAGGTGTGTGGGAGAAGGGAGGCAAAGGAGGGAGGAGGAGACGGAGGAGGGAGGAGGGGATGACCAGAACAAAGCAGGGGGCGAGGAGGCAGCAGGAGGAGCGGAGGAAAAAGGAGCAGGATGGGGAGGAGCGAGGAGGGAGGAGCGCGTAGTGTAACGAAGCGCGAGGGAGGAAGGAGCTGGTCTACGAGGATGGCGCACAAGAGCCTCCTAAACCAATACACCAATCTACAAAACAGGTGTATAGTGTATAGACTACCGCCTCCTCCACCCCCTCCCTCCCACCCTTGCTCACTTCCTCCTGCCTCCTCTTACGCCTCCCTCCTACTCTAACTATCCTTTCCCCCCTCTTCCGCACCCGGCCTATTCCATCCTCATGCCCCCTCCTGCTCCTCTTCGTCCTCCTCCTGATGCTCCTCCTCCTCCTCCTGCGGAAGGCTCGTTCTGGCCAGGCTATCCAAACTAAGCCTGCTGTCGCAACATGGCCATCCCCTGGCGGCCCAGAAAATGCGGAGACCAAAATCCAACAAAACCATACAGAACGTCATCATACTCCTCCCACTGCTAATTTCCTCCTCCTCCTCCTCCTCCTCCCTCCCCCCCTCCCTCCCTCCCTCCCTCCCTCCCCCTCTTGCGCCGCCGGCGTCCCCAGCGCGAACGCTGCCCGCGGAGGGGCAGGTGGGAAAAAGCACGCGCGGCCCGCCCCAAGCCCGCCGACAGGGCGCGGCCCGCAGCCCCCCAAAGGGACACGGGCACCAGCAGGGAGGGGAGCGCCAGCCGAGGAGGCCCCCGAGCCGGCGGCCTCCGTGCGCCCCGTCGCCACAGGCCCCGCGGGGACTGCCCGACCCCGGAGAGGCCGGGGAGACTGGGCCCAGAGCACCCGCGGAGGCGCCGTGGCCCCGGAGGCCGGGGTGCCGGCAAGAGTGCCCCTGGCCCAAGGTGCCCCCCCGGCCTGCCGCTCGACCCTAGAGCCCCCGCGGGGCCCCCGGGGGGCCCCGCGAGAGGTGTTCTCCGGGAGGCCGTGGGGGGCCTCCCCAGGGGGCACCCCCAGCGGCCAGGTGGGCACCCCCAGCGGCGCCCGAGAAGAGGCCCTGGGGCGAGCCGAGGCTTCGCCCTGGCGGGCGAGGGCCCGCTCCGAGCGGGAGCCCCCGGGGACGGGGAAGCAGGGAGGCCCAGACACCGGAACCCTCCTCCTGCTTCTCCTCCTGCTCCTCCTCCTGCTCCTGCTCCTCGTCCTCCTCCTCCTCCTCCTCCTCCTCCTCCTCCTCCTCCTCCTCCTCCTCCTCCTCCTCCTCCTCCAGAGACAAAAACAAAGACCCGGGGGCGGCCTACGGCCACGGCGCGGGCCAGCCGGGCGGCACCTCGTCGCGCCAAGACTCGCGCGCACGCGCCGCGCCGCCGTCGGCAGGAGTGCCAGCAGCTCGATCTTCTCGTCGCCCGTTCCAGCCCCAGCCTGGAGGTCCGCACCCCTCACCATCGCGCCCGTCGTCTCAGGCATGGCCGAGCCCCTGCCCTCCCCCGAGGCTTGGGCGGCAAGTCGGGCACCTTATCGGCTGCCTCGATCTTCGGCACCGGCTTGATCTGTTCGATCGCCTGGGCATCCTCCTCGAGCTGCTCAGAGTCGGGCGTGGCCTCCCCTTTGCAGAACCGAGTGTTCTCCAGGACCCGCACGACTCCATCGCCCGAGGCCGAAAACAGATCCTTCTGCTTGTCGGTGACCTTGCAGCCTGAGGCGCGCTTGATGTCATTCTTCATCAACTCCCCCATCTGCTTCGCCATTGGCTTCAGCGAGGGCTCTTCAGCGCCGTGCGGTCTGTCCCGCTGTTCGACTCCGTGGGGCTGCTCAGCGTCGTACTCGTACTGCTCCGTAACCTGCGCCTTGGACGGGCGCGGGGTGGCCCGTCCGCCCGCTCCTGGCACGAAGAGCGGCGCATCCGAAGTGGTCCGCTACGCCACTACCTCGCGCCGCACCTCCAGGCGGGGTCCGCGCCCAGCACTGCGGAAGGCCACGGGCGCGGCGGTGGCGAAGTTCGTGTCAGCGTCGGCATGCAGCGCGGCACTGCGCCTCGCTATCTCGAGCCACTGCGGCTGCCTGCCCTCGACGAGCGCGGTCGGCGCTGGCAGCAGCCCCAGCACCCGGCGGGCAACATCCTCGCTGCCCACGAGGAGGTCGAAGGCGACCTCGAGCTGGAGGAACTCCTTCCGCTGCTCCCCCAGCGCACCCGAAAAGAGCATGATGGCCCTGACCGCCGAGGCACGCGCCCAGTCGCGGACTGCTTCCGCTCAGCAGCTGTCCGCCTCAGCGCGCCCTCCGCGCCGTCCCGCCCTCTGGCCGAGCCCCGCGCGCGCGTCCGACGAGCCCGCGGCAGTGGAGCCAGCAAGGCAAGACCCAAAATGGCGACGGACCCCACCTCCACCTCCTGATCCTCCTCCTCCTCCTCCTCCTCCTCCTCCTCCTCCTCCTCCTCCTCCTCCTCCTCCCCCTCCCTCCTCCTCCTCCTCCTCCTCCTCCTCCTCTTCCCTCCTCCTCCTCCTCCTCCTCCTCCTCTCCTCCTCCTCAGCTCAGCAGCAGCAGCAGCAGCAGCAGCATCATCATCATCATCATCATCATCATCATCATCATCATCATCATCATCATCATCATCTCATCATCATCATCATCATCATCATCATCAGCAGCAGCATCAGCATCATCAGCATCAGCATCATCATCATCATATCATCATCATCATCATCATCATCAATCATCATCATCATCGCAGCATCATCATCATCATCATCATCAGCAGCAGCAGCAGCAGCATCAGCAGCATCAGCAGAATCATCATCATCAGCATCATCAGCAGCATCATCATCATTATCAGCATCATCATCATCATCATCATCATCATCATCATCATCATCATCATCATCATCATCATCATCATCGTCATCATCGTCATCATCATCGTCGTCAGCATCAGCGTCTTCTTCATCATCATCAGCAGCATCATCAGATCCAGCATCATCAGCATTAGCATGATCAGCATCAACAGTATCATCACCATCATCAGCATCATCATCATCGTCATCAGCAGCATCATCAGCATCATCATCATCAGCATCAGCAGCATCGTCATTGTCGTCAACATCATCGTCAGCATCAGAATCAGCATCAGCATCACTATCATCATCAGCATCAGCGTCAGCATCATCAGCATCACGATCATCCTCATCCTCGCGACATTATCCTCATCAGCATCATCATCGTCGTCATCATCATCACCATCACCAGCACAACCATCATCACGGCGTCGTCAGCATCATCGTCAGCATCATCGGCATCGTCGGCGTCAGCATCAACAGCATCATCATCATCATAATCGTCATCATCAGCATCATACTCAACAGCAGCATCATCATATTATCATCATCAACATCAGAATCAACAGCAGCATCAGCAACAGTATCATCAGCATCACCATCATCACCATCGTCATCGTCATCGTCATCGTCGTCATCATCAGAATCATCATCAAAAGCAGCAGAAGCATCAGCATCAGCATCAGCGTCAGCAGCAGCATCAACATCATCATCAGCATCAGCATCATAATCAGCAGCATCTTCATCAGCATCATCATCAGCATCATGATCATCGCCACCACCACCATCAGCACCACCACCATCATCGAAGTCGTCGTCAGAATCATAATCATCATCGCCAGCATCATCAGCAGCATCATCAGCATCAGCAGCATCAGCATCATCAGAATCAGCATCAGCAGCAGTAGCACCAGCATCATCATCATCATCCTCATCCTCATCCTCATCCTCATCCTCACCCTCATCAGCATCAGATCATCATCATAAAGATCAGCATCAGCATCACCATCATCATCAGCATCATCATCAGCATCATCATCACTCATCTCGATCCTCCTCTCCCCCTCCTCCTCCCCGCCTCCTGCCCCCCAACCCACCCCCACCCCGCAGAGGGGAGTGCGCGCGTAAGGAGGGAGGAAGGCACGCGCGGGGGATCGCGGAGGAGGAGGGGCAGGAGGAGGCAGGAGGGGCAGTGGAGGCGGAGGAGGCGGAGAGGGTGAGGGGAGGAGGAGGAGGAGGAGGAGGAGGAGGAGGAGGAGGAGGAGGAGGGGCTCAGGGATACAGGGATGGAGGGAGGAGGGAGGAGGGGGGTGCAGGGGGCTCAGGGAGGAGGCATTGAGGAGGGAGGCGGAGGAGGAGGAGAAGGAGGAGGAGGAGGAGGAGGAGGAGAAGGCAGAGGAAGGATGCACGGAGAGGAGGAGTAAGGAAGATGAGAAGGAAGGAGAAGGAGGAGGAGGAGGAATGGAGGAGGGATGGAGGGAGCAGGAGAGAACAGGTGGGGGCTCGAACTGGCCGCAGGCTGGGAGACAAGGGGGGGGGCGCGCCCGGACTTCCGGCAACGCCTGGGGGGCGCTCTCGTCGGTGTCCCAGAAGGACTCGCGGGGCGCGCTGCGGAATAGGCGACGACGACGACGAATACGACAAAAAAACACGACGACGACGACGACGACGACGACGACGACGACGACGACGGCGGCGATGACGACGACGACGGCGACGTCGGCAACGTCGGCGACGACGGCGACGACGGCGACGACGGCGACCACAACCACCACCACCACCACGACAACGACGACGACGACGACGACGACGACGACGACGACGACGACGAGTGAGGCGAGGAGGAGGGCGAGGAGGAAATAGAAGGCGAGGAGGGAGGGAGAGAGGGAGGGAGGGAGGAGGAGGAGGACGAGGAGGACGAGGAGGCGGACGTAGAGGAGGGAAGAGAGGGGACGAGGAGGGGACGACAGGACCAGAGTCAGCCCATAAGGCATCAATGATACTGAAAATACACCCTCCTGTACCAAGTCCAAAGTCCCTACAAGAATTGTTCCACTATGGGAGTAGCCCCTTCAAAAACAAGCGAAAGCCCCGTTTTGATTAGGAACGGCCCTCCATCCTTCTAGCTTCAGGGAATGAGGTCAGACAGCATCGTGACATCTGCCAACCTTGTCGGCGTGCGGGACGCTGTTTTTCATTGGCCCACCTCCCAGTGGCCAGCCTGGGCCCTCCTCCTCCTCCTCCTCAGGCCCCTCAGCCGAAAGGACTACGTCGCGATCGCGTCATAGGAAAATCGCAATCGCGCCAGAAGGAGGATTTTTCTGCCGTACATCGTCAAGTCCGCCAGAGGGCGCAGCGCGAATGCCTACCGAAACACCTGAGTACCCAGAGGCCGCAGACGTTGAGGCCCTTCCATCCTGCTCGTCTCCGCATTCTCCACACACAAACGCATCCCTCTTGCCCCTCGGTTCGAATCCGTTCTGGCTATCCATGTCAGTGCCGGTGGGCATGAGTGCTCAGCCAAAAAGCATCGGGCCCATGCAGGCGGCAAACAGCGACAGCGGCGACGCCTGAAGAACCACAGCAAGTACAGTGCAACCGCAATCACGCCTTGGCAAGTGTCACGCTACTCGCATTGGAGTGGCTGGGGCGTATTCCCACCACAACTAAGCGAACACAACGCTACTCGCATTCTCGTGTGATTGGCTGTCGCTCGCCTGCTGGCGGCACTGCGGGCATCGGCATCGGGCAAGGTGAGGTGCGTGCCGGCTTGGGCTGCCAGTGTTCTCCTCGTGTTCCTGATGCCACTGTTGGCCTTCCGGTACTTTTTTTGTCGCGGCCGCAAGCGGAAGCACAGGCGGCAACCGAAGAGGTCGGGCGGGCTACGCGCGAGCCTAATTACACAGCCAGTTGGCCTTCCGGTACGCGGTGGCCGCCGGGAAGCTACCTTGCAGAATCTGCTGCTGTCTGGTGGTGCCGACGCTGGATTGGCCTGCTGCCGTTTCAGCCCTGCGACGCTACACGTCGAGCTCGATCGAACGGCCAGGGTGGGCTGTCTCCACGCGTCGAAGAGCACATTCGGTGTATAACAGAGACGTACTGCAATGCTGAACAACTTTACTTTTGAAATACTTCTTATTATTATACCTATGTGTATGCGTATCGCCCGTAGGCTTGCGAGCACCATACATATGCTTGTATGTAGACATCCCCCCTTATACATATACAAATGTTTTTATATAGAGAGAGAGATGCGTACACACATGTGCACAAACGTACATACACATGTACACGCTAGCGGCTTGCAATTAATGCGCACGTGGCTACAGCGACAGCAACATTTTCATCAAAGGCCCGACCTTCATCCGCGCAATTGCTGGAATAAACAGCTTCAGGATCATAAACTGCGAGGAAGTCATAGTCAAAACGCCCAGCCCACTGGGGCGATGAGGATGAACTATTTACGAGGACTGGAGACAGGGGAAGGGAGGAAGAGAGGAAGAGAAGAACGAAGGCGAGGAGCAGGGGGACAAGGTCTTGGGTGAGGAGGCCTCGGGGGAACGAAAAGAGAGAGAGAGAGAGTTCTTATACATTTCCCAACTCGGGCCTCCTGGGATGGGTCTGGGCTGCTTGACCCTCCTCCTCCCCCATACCCCATTCCTTCTCCTGCACTGTCAGAAAAAAAAAACAACATCCGCTCACCAATAGATGTGGATATCATCCCGCGATCTGCAGCGGGTAAAAATCCATATGCACTGCCCCTAAATGTCTTGGGGCGCGACTCCGAAGCGGTGGATGCTCACAGATCATTGCGGTGCTCATCCCCCTCCGAAAGCCTTCTGAAACTCCGAAAAAAAACCGAGAAGAAAACCCCCGAGAAGACAACTCACAAGCGTCCAGAAACCCGGGGAACAAGCGCAACCAGCGAAAACATCTTCCTCCCCCCCTCCCTCCCTCCCTTCTTTGGGCGCGCGCTAACGTTAACAGCGCCCAGAAACCTTGGGAACAAGCGACTTCAGCGAAAACATACTTCTCCCTCCCTCCCTCCCTCCCTCCTTTCCTCGGGCGCGCGCCAACATTCGGGTCGGGCGAAAAGGGGGGATAGCTAAGGGGGGGTGAGAATCAGCTTACGTAGCTGATTTTCCCGGCGCCTCCCGGCGCCGGAGGCGGCTATGTATCGAGGAAAGGGCCCCTCCGTGGGGCCGAAACCAGCTGCATGCAGCAAATTTCGTAACCCCCCCTTTCCCAATCCCCCCCTTTCGTCCGGCCCGAAACATGGACCAGGGGCCCGTGGCCCGCGGATCTCGCGCGCGGGCGCCAGACCCACCGATCGGGGAGGGCGCCCCCCCGGCACGGGAGGCCGGCGCCGCCCGACCCGGCGACGCAGCGCGCGGATTTCCGTCTGGAAATGGGACCCGTCGCTCACTCGCGCGCCGGAATCCACGCCTGCGCTTCCTCGACGTCTGAAGGGGCCCTGGGACACACAGATAAACACACACACACACACACAAATAACAGGATGCCCCATATTTTCCCATACCTTCTAGGGTTCTGTCTTCCCCCCCACGTCCCAGATTTTCCCATCTTTTCTGGGGAATCGAGGCTGAATTGTGTCTGTGTTTTCCTCCCTCCTGACCTGTCGCCCACTCGCGCGCCCGAATCCACGTCCTGCGTCTCCTCGACGCCCTCCTCCCCTCCGTGCCCTCTGGCCTCTCCCCTGCCCCGCCGCACGGGGGGGGCCTTCGCACCCCAGTGCTCCGGCACGCCCCTCTCCGTGGAGCCCTTCAGGGGCTTGCCCACCACCTCGGCCTGGTCCTTCTCGCCCTTCTCATTCTCGTCCTTGGCGTCCTTCTCCTCTATCGGAACTCCTGCGCCGACCGGCGGACGCTCCATGTGAAGCCGGCCACACAGGCGACACCGACCCTGGTAAGGGGCACTCCCGGACCCCGGATCAGTGCTCAGCGCAAGGTCAGCCGTGACGGGGATGCAGGGAAAGCATGCAAGACCCTCGGGCCCAACAGTAGAGGCCTCCTAGATGGGGTCCGAGTAGAGGCGTCGGAGGATCTCACCGCAAAGCCGATATATCGGCGATGTATCGCCGATGCATCGGCGATGCATCGGCCACGCCATGCACTGGCGACGTCAGCGATGCATCGGCGACGTCGGTGTGGAGAAAATTGGGCCCCACATGGAGCCGCATCGCCGATGCCCCCATCAAATCCGAGCCATCTAGGAGGCCTAGAAACAGGCAAGTGCGGGCATGAGCGGGCAAAGATGGGCCGAGCGGGCAAAGACGGGCAGGAAAAGGGCCTGGCTGCAGATGCAGCCCTGGTGACGCACCGCACCACTGCCGCCGTTGTTGGGCCGACTCTCCACCACCACTACCACAGGTAGCAGAGGGAGGAGGAGGAGGAGGAGGAGGAGGAGGAGGAGGAGGAGGAGGAGGAGGAGGACCTCCCCCATCCTCCCTCCTCCCCCGTCCTACTTTTACGGTAAGTGGTGGTGGAAAGCTGGCCCGCCACCCCGGTGGAGCGCAAGGCGCCGATCCTGGCAAGGCCAACCACGGGCCCGGCGGGACTGCCACACGGCCAGCTTTATGCCGGGCATGTCCCCCTACAGGAGGATTTTCGGCGAAAAACTGATAATACACCAAAAATACCCCAAAAAGGTCAAACAAGTATTTAAAAAATAGTCCCCAGACTATTTTTGGACGATTTTTTGATTATTTTTGGTGTATTTCTTATGTTTCGTCGAAAATCCCCCTGTAGGGGGACAGGCCCGACTTAAGGCCAGCTCCTGCCCGACTTAGGGCCCCCGCCCGCCGCACCGCGCGCTGCTGCGGAGGCCCTGGGCGCCCCGGAGCTGAGGCACGGCGGCTTCGCGCCCCGTGGCGGCCCTGGCGGATGGCTCTCGGACGCCGCGCGGACCGCTCGAGCGGCAGCGCGAGGCGGCAGAAGAGGTGGCCGCGGGGCAGCTTCGCGCCACGTGGCGGCCCTGGCGGATGGCTCTCGGACGCCGCGCGGACCGCTCGAGCGGCAGCGCGAGGCGGCAAGAAAGGTGGCCGCGGGGCAGCTTCACACCCCGTGGCGGCCCTGGCGGATGGCTCTCGGACGCCGCGCGGACCGCTCGAGCGGCAGCGCGAGGCGGCAGAAGAGGTGGCCGCGGGGCAGCTTCGCGCCACGTGGCGGCCCTGGCGGATGGCTCTCGGACGCCGCGCGGACCGCTCGAGCGGCAGCGCGAGGCGGCAAGAAAGGTGGCCGCGGGGCAGCTTCACACCCCGTGGCGGCCCTGGCGGATGGCTCTCGGACGCCGCGCGGACCGCTCGAGCGGCAGCGCGAGGCGGCAGAAGAGGTGGCCGCGGGGCAGCTTCGCGCCCCGTGGCGGCCCTGGCCGGTGGCCTCGGGCGCCGCGTGGATCGATCGAGAGGCAGCGCGAGGCGGCAGAAGAGGTGGCCGCCGGGGAGCTTCGCGCCGTGGCGGCCCTGGCCGGTGGCCTCGGACACCGCGTGGGTGCTGAAGCCTCTGCGCTCTCGGAGGTCGCCGCTGGGCCGTCGACCCCGCCTGTCGTATGGGCTTCCGCACCGTCGGCGGCCTGTGGCTCAGGAGGCCGCACCAAAGGTTGGCACGCCCAGAGTTCGGTACGGCGGGACCCAGGACAGAAGAACATCCTCCAAGAACACGAGACCCTCCGCGGGCCAAACTGAAACACACTCGAGGGAGTACCCTCCCCCAGGATGCACAAGAACATTCAACAAGCACGAAGAACATTAAGGTGCCCTCCCCGAGCCGACCTCTATCTTATACCTCGGTCCGACCGTACGGAAAGAACGGGGACGGTGACCACCAGCAAGTTGCCCAAAACCGACAGCGGCCGCTGCTGGGCAGCGGCCTGCGATTCACATGGGCAACGTCCGCAGCGACGCCGACCGCGAATCCTGTTTCAGATGGGCAAGAACTGCTGTCGGTCTTCGTACCCATTGCTTCCGTACCCATATCGGTCCCTGGATGGGGGCGCTCCACTCGGCGGTGGACAAACCTCCCTTTCGTAAACCTCCCTTTAGTGAAAACGGCCTGGGACCGAAACCGACGGACCTGGGCCCACAAAAATGACGGCCGCGACGCCCTCTCGCGATTCGAAAACGGCCCGTGCGCTCATCGACGCGTCAGGGTAGGAGGTCTGCCCACCCCCGATCCACCCTTGAGCGTCAGGGTAGGAGGTCTGCCCACCCCCGATCCACCCTTGAGCGCCCGTGCTGAAGCCGCCGCCGCCGCCGCGCCCAGGGAGGGCTCCTTTGCAGGGAACGGCCGGTCCACGAAACTCGCGCCCCCGCACCGTCTCAGAGGCGGGGCACCTCTGAGGGCCGCCCCCTGGCCATGCAGCCCCTGCCAAGCTCCCGACGCCCTGACCTCGTCAGTCCACCAGGTTCCGCAGCCCTCGACCCCAACACTCGCAGGGACTTCGAGGCGCGGGCTGTGGGCCTCGAATGGGTCCCCAGGGCCTTCAAAAGGTGGACCTCAAATGGTGGACCTCAAATGGGACCTCAGGGCCCTCAAACGGGCCTTCTCAACAGGTGGGCCTCAAATGGGACCTCGGGGCCCTCGAGTGCGCCCAGGTGCCCTCAGGCGTGCCCTCAAGTGGGCCCTCAAGCTGGGCCTCTCGAGGCCCAAGCCCTGGGCCAGCCCCCGCTCGCGCGCCGATGCTGTCCTGCTGGCCCCCGTCCCGCCCGCCCTCTGCGCAGGTCCCCCGGTTCCTCCAGCAGGCGAGCCCCTCGCAAATTACTCCAGATTCACGCCCTCGAGGCCACGATCCATCGCAATTTACGCCACATTCGCGCCCCCGAAGCCACGATCCCATGTAATTTACTTAATTTTCGCGCCCCCCGAGGCCACGATCCCTAGTAAATTACGACAAATTCGCGCCCCCGGAATCGCAGCAGGCGACAAAGACACTGCTCTGCCACCGTGCCAGCGGCACGCTGGGGCGTGTCACAACGGTGAGGTCTCTCTGCGCCATTTCAAGGACCGACCTCCCCCCTCGTCGCGCGCGCCCCTTGAGAGCCGCCCCCACTGAGCGTGCTCTCCGGCGCTCCTTTCGGACTCCGGGCGACTCCGAGACAGCCAGAGGCCGCCCCGAGAGAGCCAAGTTGGCTCCAAGACAGCCCCAACACGGCCCAGAGAGGCCCCAAGACGGCCTCCGGCCCAAGAGGCTCCCGATACAGCCCAAGACGGATCCGAGAGGCCCTCAACGAGGGCCCGAAGAAACAGAATCATTGTTTTCCAAACGACTTTCATGAATTCTGCGTTCCCACCTTTTCGGGCTTCTGACAACGGGCCAAGGAAGGCCCCAGGACGGCCCAAGGGGTCCCAAAGAGGGCCCCGAGACGGCCCAAGTGGCCTACAAGACGGCCAATAGAAGGCCCCACGACGGCCCAAAACAATCAAAACATACTATTTTAAAAAATAGTCCCCAGACTATTTTGTTGACTATTTTTGCATGTCCCCCCTCTAGAGGGACAGGGCCGACTTACACCTAGCTTGCCCCTCCCTAAAACAGGGCTAGGATCGGGATAAATCGCTCCAGAGCGTTCCGGAGCGCTCTCAGAACGTTCACGAACGCTCTGGAGCGGCCGCGGCGCCCAATACATCCTCCAAACCCGCCGATTCTCAGAGATTTCGAGTTATCCCGATCCAATTTTGTCCCGATCTTCGCGTCGTTTTACTCCCCCCTCCCTCCCGCCCTCTCCGTGCCTCCCGCCCCGCCCCGTGCCGGCGCGCGAGCCCTGGCCCACGGCGGCGGTCCGTCGGCGTCCAGGTTGCCGAACTGGGGCGGGCAGGCGGGGAGGGGCTCCTCCTCCTCCCCTCCTCCTCCTCCTCCTCCTCCTCCTCCTCCTCCCCTCCTCCTCCTCTCCCCCTCCTCCTCCTCCTCCTCCTCCTCCCATCCTCCCTCCTCCTCCCTCCTCTCCTCCCTCCTCCTCCTCCCCTCCACCTTCCTCCTCCTCCTCCTCCTCCTCCTCCTCCTCCTCCGCCTCCTCCTCCTCCTGGGAGAAGTCGGCGGCGAGCGAGGGGGGGGAAATTAGAAGGAGGAGGCCTTCTCAGAAGGCGTCAGGGGAAAGGTGTTTCCCGTCTTCGGGGAAGACTTGGAAAAAAATTCTCGGAGGGCTCGGGAACTTCCGAGCCTTCTGAGGAGGCCCGCCCCTGCTCGCTTCCCCCCCTCGCCCGCCGCCGAAGAAAGGAGAAACTATTCGTGGATCAGGCACGGGCTGTCGGTGGTGTGTGACGAGCAGCCAGCCACCTGCCAGGGGGGGGTGCAGTTAAAGCAGGGGTTCACAGTCAGCACCCTGGTGAGAGGAGAAACGGGGACGGTGATGTGGATGCCATGACAATGGACACCCTAACAATCCTATCATTCAGTTGACTCAATGGTTGAATAATGTTCTAGAGATATTCAAAACATGCATTTTACATGTTTCAGTGTTAAAGCATGTCTTAGACATCTGGAAATCATTTGGCAACATGCTTCCTCTCCATTGATCGTCGTCCACAAGGACAGTGCTCAGACAGTCCGCCCTGTCGGCGGCGAAGAAGGACGAGGAGGTCAGGGAGGAGGCAAGGAGCACGGAGAGCTGGAGTCCCGCGGTCTCGGGCCGTCCGGCTGATGCTGCATGCGGCTGGCCCGAGGACGGCACCAAAGGCAGTGGGACACCACTCCCCGAGTGACCGACAACGAACTGCACGGACGGATGCGGTGGACACAGTTTCTGGGCTGTGGCCCCGCTGCTGCGACAAAGGCCATGAACAGGCTCATTAAGCCAAGAACTGGGTAACGAGCTGGTGCGCAGGAATATACGATGACGTTGCATTGCGTACTTTACGCGTCGGTCGGCCTCTTTGTTAAAACAGTGCCTTCTCCACTCTACCAGGGGGGAGGGGGGGAGAGGGAGAAGGGGGGGAAGGAAGGGAAGGAAGGGAAGGAGGGGAAGGAGGGGAGGAAGGGGAGTGGATGGCCGCGACGGCGGTGGGCAAATGATGGCTGCCCACTGACTGGTGGAAGCATGGAAGGAAGGACGGAGAAGGGAGAAAGGAGGGAATAGGTTTGAGAGGAAGGAAGCATTCGTTCCCCTGACAGTGCGCAAACCTGCCGCTACACACACAAGTTCGTAGAAGCAGAAGCAAACGAAAGCCTCGCGACTGCTGGCATTGCGGCGGCGGGGAAAGAGGAGCACTGAGGTGGGGGCTCCTCCACTCCCCTCATCCCCTCTGCTTTTCCACCTTATGTCCTCCGTCCTCCGTCCCCCCTCCTCCCTCCTCACTCCTTCCCTCTCCCTCCCCTTCGTAGGGGAGGAGATGGAGGATGAGGAGAAAGAGGAGGAGGAGGAGGAGAAGGAGGAGGAGGAGGAGTGAGAGAGGAAGGGGGAGCGCGCGAGAGCCCTTACACACAGACACACACACACACACACACACACACACACGCACACACACACACACTCTCACACACACACACACGCACACACACACACACACACACACACACACACACGCACACGCACACGCACACGCAGACGCACACGCACACCCACACACACACACACACAAACACACACACACACACACTTTTGAAGCTCCCAGGAGCGGTCTTGGAAGCCATTGGGCCGTCGTGGGCGGTCGGGAGGCAGATTAAGCAAGAAGCTCAAATTCTCTCAAACCCCTGAGATACAGCAGTGCTGTTGCTTCTTTCGGCGCTCTGGAGAAGCCTCTCGTGGAACTCTTGGGCCTTCAGGGGCGTCCTTCGAGCGTCTTCAAGTCGTGTTGGGCCATCTCAGAGCGCTCTCGGGGCGGTCTTGGGGCGAGTGCCCTGCGCCGTCCCCAAGTGGTCACGAACGCTTTTCGAGCTCCGAACCGTCTCGGGGCCTCGAAGCCAGGAGGAGGAGGAGGAGGGGGAGGAGGGGGAGGACGAGGGGGTGGCCCCCATCTGGCGCGCGAAGGTCCCTGAGTCGGGTCCCCGGGCCTCGTCCCCCGGGAGTAGATCCGAGGTGAGGGGGTGACATCGAAGTGGAACGGAGAGCCCCCCTACCGGGAAATCGATTTCGGTTTCGTGTTCGTGCGTGCCGTGCGGGCGAGGCGAAGCTGCGTGGGCGGGCGAGAGAAAGTCTCCTGTGGCTGAGGCGCGGCCGGACCAAATGATTCCCTTCCGGGCGGCCGGGGCCCCGCGGTGTCCCGCCGGTGTCCCGCTGGTGTCCCGTGTGGCTGAGGCGCGGCCGGACCAAATGATTCCCTTCCGGGCGGCCGGGGCCCCGCGGTGTCCCGCCGGTGTCCCGCCGGTGTCCCGTCCGTGTCCCGTCGGTGTCCCGATGATGATGTTGATGATGATTATGATGATGATTTGATGATGATGGTGATGATGATGATGGTGATAATGATGATGATGATGTTGATGATGGCGATGATGATGATGATGATGATGATGATGATGATGATGATGATGATGATGATGATGATGATGATGATGATGATGATGATGATGATGACGTCGATTGCGAGATCGATTGTGATATCGGTAGTGAGACCGAATGTGAGATCGATAATGATATTGGTAGTGAGTTTGATAGTGAGATCGATAGTCATATCGAATGTGAGATCGATTGTGAGATTGATTGTGATATCGATTGTGAGATCAATAGCGAGACCGAATGTGAGATCGATTGTGAGATCGATTGTGAAATCGATTGTGAAATCGATAGTCAGATCGATTGTGAAATCGATCGGTCGAGGTCGATTGTGAGATCGGTAGTGAGTTCGATGGTGAGATCAATCGAGTGTGACGTGTGCGACGTTGCCCCCCCCCCCCCCCCCCTCGCCTCCTTATCACCCGAAGGGTGGTCGTATAGGTAGATGTATACGTGTGTGTGTGTGTGTGTGTCAGCGCGCACATCAACCTTGATGTCCCGATACTCCAGGCCTCTCAAAAAGCGTGGGGGGGTGGATCGCGTGGGGGGGGGGGGAAGCCGCTGTCCTTCGGGGGGCGCGGGGAGGTTGGGGAGCGAGGGGGGGTGGATTTGGGGCGCGTGGGGGGGCGGGCAAAGGGGCGTAGGACAGGTTGGCACGGAGGGGTGCTTGTTGAAGGATGTCCCGATATGCGTCCACTCGTGGGTTGGAGTGTGAGCCCAAGGAAATTCGAACATGATTCAGTGATGCCACCTCCCCCAGCCATTCGGCACGGCCTCTGGGGGTTCCCCTCCAGACGCTCCGTCTCGTTCCACTCCTCATTTCGCCGCACCCTGCACTCTCTCATCTTCTCCTCTTCGTGTTTTTGCAAAAATCCTCGGCCCAGTCGCCGAAGTGCCTGGGTTGTGGGTCAGAAGTCTTTCGGGTGTTCGTTGGGATGTCGTGTAAGGGTTCTCGCGAGCGCTTTGGAGGCAAGATTGAAGCCTCTCGGGCGCTGTTTTGGAGCATCTTGGGGCGTCGTGGGGGGAGTTTTTGGGGGCCTCTTGGGGTCTTTCAGGTGCTCCTCGGGGCATCGTGAAGCGGGAAGCTCGACTTGTTGGTGCGGGCTCCCGGTCTTGGGACACTTGGGGGGCCGTCTTTGGGCTCCCCTAAACTCTCTTTGGGGACTCTTGGGTCGTCTTGGGGCTCCTGGAGTGTCTGAAAGCGCTCTCGGGGGTTCCATGGGCCGTCTTCCACGCCGCGAAGGTCGAAAAAACATTTACAATAAATGCACGTTGTCCTACGGGGATAGGGCAATGTGGGCGCGCTGGGGCGTTCTTGGGAGTGCTCTTGGAGGCCTCTCGGAGCGTCTCGGGGGGTCTCTCGGCAAGTCTTGGGGCCATCTTGGGCGTCTTGGAGCGGTGCTTCAACAATTCGGATCCCTCTTGGGCAATTGCGGTGGTTGTTGGACCCCTCCAAGCGCGTCTTGGAGGGGGCAGGTACCCTGCCACCATCATGGAGATCCTTGGACCTACGGCATGTGCATACAAATATGTATGTATGTATGTATGTATGTAGATGTGCCGATGTGTGTGCGTATGCACGCATGCAAGTACGTATGTACATGTATGTATGTGTGTATGTCTGTATGTGCGTGCGCACGTATGTGTACATATGCATGCATGCGTAAGTATATGATGTGTGCATGAACGTGTGTATGATTGTGTATGGATGTGTATGCATGTGTATGCATGTACATGTATGTACATGTATGTACATGTACCTACACGACCACCCTGCGGGCGATAACGATGTGAGGGGGAGGGGGAACCAACGTCTAACTCAATCGATCTCGCTATCGATCTCACAATCGATCTCACATTCGATATCACTATCGATAGCACGATCGATGTCGCTATCGATTTCACCATCGATTTCACAATCGATCTCACAATCGATCTCACATTCGATATCACATTCGGTCTCACTGTCGATATCACTATCGATCTCACAATCGATCTCACAGTCGATCTCACAGTCGGTCCCACATTCGGTCTCACTGTCCATCTCACTATCGATCTCACAATCGATCTCACTATCGATCTCCCATTCGGTTTCACATTCGGTCTCACTATCGATCTCACAATCAATCTCATTTTTTGATCTCACAGTCGATCTCACTATCGATATCACAATCGATCTCGCAATCGATCTCACATTCGGTCTCACAATCGAACTCTCATTCGGTCTAGGTTGGGGGGAGGGGCCCAGCAATGGGCAACATCGTAATTTGTTTCCTTCCTCTTTCGAGCTCGCGCCGACATCCGAAGGCACAACTAACCGAAACAGGGCAAACGTCTGGAAAGCCAGCGAAAGCGCGCCTCATCTTTGCAGGGAATACGGAAGCGCTGGCAAAGCCTGGCGCAGCCCGTAACCCCTGCACTCACTTCTTGCTCGGCAACGTGGCTTGGCTCTCCTCCGCGCGGCGCGCCAAGCGCCGGTCAGCGCCCGCGTGTGCCGCGTGCAGCGAGACGAGGCGGAGCTGCGACACACTGGCAAAGTCTGGCGCGGGCGTCCGGCGCCATCACGATTCGCGCGACAGATAAACATAATGCAAATCATTGTTGCCCATGTGAACAACGACGGTGGCGTTTTCTGGCCCATAGGACGTGATCGCCCACTGCACCAGTGCCGTCGGTGGAGCGAAGGGGATGACAGCGATGCGGACGCCGAACTCCAATGCGACCGACATCACCACCAACTCGTCCGCGTACTCTTTAGTGGCCAGCTTCTGCACCCACCGAGTGCACAGCGCCTCGGTGCGCACGGGGCCCCGGACATCCAGGCCAGCAAAGGCCGGGTAGATTCTGCTCTTCACGTCGGCTCTGAGCAGCACGGCGGCTTCGCCGCCGCAGAACTGGGTCCGCAGAGCTTCTGCCACCACGCCCAAAGGCGAGGGACGCACGCCAGCGTCGACACACCGCTGCATTCCCTGTGCTGTCAATTGGCCTGCCGCTCGATGTGCTGGAGCGTTGCCTGGCAAGGCCTGGGCCAACATGCCCAGTCCGCGTTTGGCGAGGCCTGCTGCGAGGCATAGCCAGAAGCACGCACCCGTGGTTCGGCCCGCATACTGCCCCAGGTCCCAGACCTGCGCGTGGAACTGCAACTCATTGTGCGCGCGCTGCGAGTACTGCGTCAATACTTCGCCACCCACCAACACTTCGCTGTCCAGAGCCCGGACCGTCTTGGCAGAATGGCGGCGGAACCGTTCGAGTGTGTCGTACTTTGTGCGCTGCGCGTCCAGGCCGTTGAGCAGAAGCACCAGCGCTTGCCGGAACTGGAACGACGTCTGCTCCAACGCACGGGTGATGTCAACCTCGTTGAAGCCCATGTCGATCATGGTCGCCGCCGCAAAGGTCTCAGCCGCAGCATCCCGCCTCCGAAGCCGCGGGTCCCTGAGTACCCGTCTGTGTCGACGATGTTTTCCCGCCGGAGCCGCTCTTCCCGCGGACTGGCAAAGCCTGGCCCGGGTTTTTCTTCGGTTTCTGTGCGCGGAACGAGGCCACGATACTCCACAGGCCGGTGGCCTTGCGGCCCGATTGTTCCTCGCAGTACCGGGAGACGCTGTCACTGATAGGCGCGACGCCCACCGCGGAAAGCATTGCCCGCAGATCTGCCAGCTCAGCATCATTAGGTTCGCGCCCTTCCTTTGCGAGCGTGGTGGTCCGGAAGTGTTGCTCGTGCTCAGACAGCAGTGCTTCAGGAGAAGTGCCTCTCCGCTCGAGCAGTCTGGCAACCATGGCGTCTGCCTTGCTCTCGAACTCCGCCCTGGCGAAGAAGTCCTTTGTCAGGCGCGCGGACAGAAAGTCCGTCAAGGGTGGGAGCTTGTGAAAGGCCATAGACTCCCAGTTCGTGACACGGGTCCCTGCCACGAAGGCCATCCCGAGCTTGCCCACCGGGTTGGGTCCTCGACAACCACCAAAGGAGACGATGCAGCCCTCGTGCGCCGTGATGCCCTGCGACTTGTGGATGGTGAGCGCCCATGCCAGGGGCAAGGGTATGCCAGCGCGAGTCAACGACTGCAAGGTATTGTGCCGCACCTCTGCGCAGGGGACCGGTACCCAGGTCCTTGGGAGATTGTCGAAGCAAGCGGGGCCCTTGTACGCGGGGAAATGCACGACCACGAAGTCAGGAACTGGGCAAGCGGGCTCCCCCCGGGGAAGCGCTCCGAGGGTGGAGCTGGGATGGCCGACCCCAGCGAGTGTACTCTGGTCAGTTCGCTGCTCCCCTGGGGAGGCGTACACGATGGCGACCACCAACCCCCGAGCCCCATTCATGAGCCCGAGGAGCACAGTGGGGACGTCCACACGGTTCGAGGCGAATCTAGCCGTGGCGACGAGTGGCCGATCTCACAATCGATATCACCATCGACGTCGTCATCACCATCATCATCATCATCATCATCATCATCATCATCATCATCATCATCATCATCATCATCATCATCGACATCACCATCAACATCATCATCGTCATCATCATCAGCATCAGCAACAGCATCAGCATCAGCATCATCATCATCATCATCATCATCATCATCATCATCATCATCAACGTCGTCATCATCATCACAATCATCATCACCATCATGGCCATCATCACCATCATCACCATCATCACCATCAGCATCGCACGATCGATCTGATTATCGACCACACTCTCGATCTCACAATCGATCTCACAATCGACGCCATCATCATCATCATCATCATCATCATCATCATCATCATCAGCATCACCATCATCACCATCATCACCATCATCACCATCATTACCATCATCACCATCATCACCATCATCATCTCACAATCGATCTGACTATCAATCTCACAATCGATCTCACTATCGATCTCACAATCGATCTCACATTCGGTCTCACTATCGATGTCACAATCGATCTCACAATCGACGTCATCATCATCATCATCAACAACACCAACATCATCATCATCATCATCATCATCATCATCATCATCATCATCATCATCATCATCATCATCATCATCATCATCATCATCATCCATCATCATCATCATCAATCATCCACATCATCATCGGGACACCGACGGGACACCGACGGGACACCAGCGGGACACCGGCGGGACACCGCGCGCCACCGGCCGCCCGGAAGAGACACATTTGGTCCGGCCGCGCCTCAGCCACAGGGACACCGACGGGACACCAGCGGGACACCGGCGGGACACTGCGCGCCACCGGCCGCCCGGAAGAGACACATTTGGTCCGTCCGCGCCTCAGCCACAGGGACACCGACGGGACACCAGCGGGACACCGGCGGGACACCGCGCGCCACCGGCCGCCCAGAAGAGACACATTTGGTCCGGCCGCGCCTCAGCCACAGGAGACTTTCTTCTCGCCCGCCCACGCAGCTTCGCCTCGCCCGCGCGCACGGCACGCACGAACACGAAACCGAAATCGATTTCCCGGTAGGGGGGCTCTCCGTTCCACTTCGATCTCACCCCCTCACCTCCGATGTGTATGTGTGTATGTACACGCGTGTGTAATAACGCGTATATGTATGTATGTACGTGTGTACGTATACACGTACGTAAGTATGTACAGTCATCGGCCTGACCTAAGGAACGATAAATAAGGAACGAAGCCCCCTTTTTTATCCAAACGAATAACGCATAAGAAACTACACATAAGGAACTGTAAATAACGCATGCAAGCCTAAGGAACGATCGAGCCCCTTTTGAAAAGTAAGTGTTCCTTATTCAAGCCGCTCACTGTATGCACGTATGCACATGTGTGTGTACATATGAATTGTGCATGCATGTGTGTATGTGTATGGATGTGTGGATAGATGCATGTGTGTATGTGTGAATGTGTATGTGTGAATGTATGTATGGGTGTACGTATGTAAGTGTGTATGCATGCTTGTATGTATACCTGAATGTGTGTATGCGTGTATGGTAGTATGCGTGATATTAAATGTATGTATGTAAGGTTGCAGGCGTGTGCATGTAAGACTATGTGTATGTATGCGTGTGTGCATGTATAATTGGTTACATGCATGTGCATGTGTGTATGTGCGTGCATGCGTGTATGGGTGCATGCATGCATGAATGCTTGTATGTATGTATGTGTGTATGTATGTGTATGTGAGTATGTGTATGCGTGCATGTGTGTATGTGTGTGCGTATATGGATGTATATGTGTGTGCATGTGTATATATATGCGTATGTATATACGCATGGATGTCAGCATGTCGGTTTGTATGTATGCATGTCTGTGTGTATGTATGGTTGTGCGTGCATATATGTAGGTAAGTAGCTATGCATTTATGTATGTACGCGAGTATGTACATATGCATGCATGCCTGTCGGTCTGTCTGTCTATCTGTATGCCTGTCCGTCCACATGTATGTATGTATGCATGTGTGGGCGTACGTGTATACAGTTACTGTATCTATGTGCGTGTGTGCGAAAATCTCCCAAGCCCTGAGGTACAGCCTTTGATGAAGGTTCCCCCTATAAACAGAATGCGGATTGCATGGCAGACCCTGGGTAAACCCTGGCAGGGTAAAACATGGAAGTCGGGCAAGCGGGAACGGGCGGGTCGGGCGGGCGGACCCTACCAGGCGGGTCGGGCGGGCGGGACATTTGACAGCAAGTCCTTGTAAGTTGTGAGAGAGTCTCAGGCGAGAGCGCGACTCCGCAGAAAGTGTGAGGAAGTCCTGGGCGAGAGCACGATCTGCAGAGCGGCGAAAGCGCTCATATTGCATGAGATATACGAACAAGTTCAGGCGAGGACACGAAACTTGAGTACATTGCAAGGTTCAAGCGAAATCGCCTGAAGCGGGGGCCCAGGGGCACAGCTTGAGCCTCAAGCTTGTCGTGACAAAAAATAGATAGTGCGAGAGCTGGGGCGGTCATTTGAATCGAAAAAAAGGCACACCAAACAGGGGGATCAACAATACCCGTCGGTCGGAAGAAGTAGGTGGAAGCATGAAGTAGGAAGGCTGATAAAGTAGATTGGATTCGGGCCCGTCCAGAGAAGAGCAAAAGGTAGCCAACACGGATCGACTCTCGAAGTAGACAGGCGCTTGAAGTAGATTGGCATCAGGGAATCCAGAAACACCGACTTTCAGCGACAGACGGGTAAACATTCCGAAATGCGGACTCACCAAAAACCAAAAAGGGGGCGCCTGCCCGAACCTCTGCGGCTCGCCGTTCTCACCCTTGGCATCGCCCTTCCTTGCGGCACGTAAGAGGGGGCGACGGACGAGGAGGAGGAAGAGTAGGATGTGGATGGACGGGGAGAGGAGGAGGGGGGAAGAGGAGTGGGAGGGGCAAGGGGATGAGAGGGGGGAAGGAAGTGCTCATGAAGTTCCAGGTGGATTCGGATAGCTCCACTGGCTTGCCCGTGCTGTCGATTCCGGCGACCGCAGATACAGCACTGGAGCCCAGGAGCGCAGAGCCCCCTCCCCCTGAACGCGAGGGAGGGAGGTAAACCTCCACATCCTCCTCCTCCTCCTCATCATCATCCCCCCCCCTCTTGTTTTTGGCCTCGCAGACTCAAATCTGATCTAGAATCTTTCCGTGTGCCTCCCACGCGTTGGGAACGTGGCCCAAACAGCCTACAGAACTCGAGGGAGGGAGGTAAATCTCCTCCTCCTCCTCCTCCTCCTCCTCCTCCTCCTCCTCCTCCTCATCATCATCATCATCATCATCATCATCATCATCATCATCATCATCATCATCATCATCATCATCATCATCATCATCATCATCATCATCATCATCAGCAGCATCATCATCATCATCATCATCATCATCATCATCATCATCATCATCATCATCATCATCATCATCATCATCATCATCATCATCATCATCATCATCATCATCATCATCATCAGCATCAGCATCAGCATCAGCAGCATCAGCATCAGCATCATCATCATCATCATCATCATCATCAGCATCAGCATCATCATCATCATCATCATCATCATCAGCATCAGCATCAGCATCAGCATCAGCATCAGCATCAGCATCATCATCATCATCATCATCATCATCATCATCATCATCATCATCATCATCATCATCATCATCATCATCATCATCGTCCCCCCCCCCTCCCCATCCATCCTTGAGCTCACCGCCGCCGTGCCGGGCTTGCTGGAAGCGGCCCGTGCGAAGAAGGCTGAGAGGGAGAGCCGGGCGACTCGCTCCCACAGGAGCTTCCCGAAGAGGGCCCCCCGAGCGAGCCGCCGACGACGCCTGCAACCGATGAGGCTCGGCCGTGGGCTCCAGCGTCGCAAAATGGCCTGACCTGAGACCTGAGCTGACCAGGAAATTGGATCCGTGGTGCCCCGAGGCCCTCGGTCGAGGGCTTGAACACAATCATTTTTTATCCGCGGGTCGAGAGCGCACCTCTTCCGGTCGAAGCGAAGCGGGCCGCGCGAAGCTTGAATTGACCAGACATGGGGGAGGAAAAGGGGGGGGCGCAGCCTCAGAACGAGGCCGGGAGGAGGCAAAGCCTCGGGATCAGGCCAGAGAGCTTGAACACAGAGGCCCGACGTTCTTGGTTTGAAGCCTGCGCGAAGCGCGGGCCGCCCCTCGGGAGCACCAGCGGTTACAGTGTCATGCATTCAGCCTTCGGCCGCATCCTCCTCCTCCTCCTCATCCTCGGAATCCTCACCCTCACAATCACCATCACCATCACCATCACCGCCAGCCTCATCACCACCACCACCACCATTATCACCATCATCATCATCATCATCATCATCATCATCATCATCATCATCATCATCATCAGCAGCAGAATCATCATCATCATCATCATCATCATCATCATCATCATCATCATCATCATCAGCATCATCATCATCATCATCATCATCATCATCATCATCATCATCATCATCATCATCATCATCATCATCATCATCATTATCATCACCATCAGCATCAGCATCGTCATCATCGTCATCGTCATCGTCCTCGTCCTCATCGTCATCGTCATCGTCATCGTCCTCATCGTCATCGTCATCATCACCAGAATCAGCATCATCAGCAGCCTCATCATCAGCAGCAGCATCAGCATCAGCATCAGCATCATCAGCAGCGTCAGCATCAGCATCATCATCAGCATCATCATCATGCTCATCATCATCAGCATCAGATTCATCATCAGCCTCATCAGCAACATCAACATCATCATCATCGTCATCATCATCGTCAGCATCAGCAGCATCGTCGTCGTCATCGACATTAGCATCAACATCACCATCACCACCGTCATCATTTCATCATCACCCTCCTCATCCATCAACCAACAACATTGACAACAGCATCATCAGCATCGTCATCAGCAGCAAAGGCATCAACGTCAGGCTCAACACAAACGTCCATCAACCTCAACATCAACAGCATCATCAGTACTAGAATCAATACCATCATCCTCCTCATCATTCTCGCCATCGTTCTCGTCATCATCCTCGTCATAGTCATCCTCATCATCGCCATCATCCTCAGCACCACCACCACCACCATCATCGTCCTCTTCTAGGCATTCGGGGGCGTCTCGTCGCCTTGGCTGGACCCGGATCGGAAAACATGTTAGGATGGTACTCAAGGAGATCCTGCGACCAGATTTCGAACAGCTTCTGGTTGGTTGGCAGGGAGGACGAAGGGAAACGAGGGCGCTGCGAGGAGGACACGGGGGGACTGCAAGAGGGGTGGAGCGGGCGGCGGGGGCTGGGAGGAACATGCGCGTATGAGAAGCTGGGGGGCAGGGGGGAAGAGCCGAGGTGGCTGAGGAGGAGAACGTAGGGGAGGGGGCCCGAGAAGCAGGGCCGACGCATGCGCGGATCGTGTCCCTCCGTCCCTCATTCACTCGTCCTCCTCCTGATACTCCTCCTCCTCCTCCTCCTCCTCCTCCTCCTCTTCTTCTTCTTCTTCTTCTTCTTAGTAGTATTCGTTTTCTTCTGATTTTTATTCTTATTATTAGTATTGTTGGTAGTAGTCTTCTTATTCTTATTATTATTCTTCTTAGTATTCTTAGTATTATTATTAGTTTTCTGTTTCGTCTTATTCTTATTATTCGTAATGTTATTATTATTAATATGAGTATTAGTATTCGTCTTATTCGTCGTATTATTATTCTTACCATTCTTATTAGTATTATGATTACTATTAGTATTAGTAGTAATAGTAATATTATTAATATTATTATTGTTATTATTATGCTTATTATTCGTCTTCTTCTTATTATTCTTCTTCTTATTCTTCTTCCTCCTCCTCCTCCTCCCCCTCCTCCTCCTCCTCCTCCGCCTCCTCCTCCGCCGCCGCCTCCGCCTCCTCCGCCTCCGCCGCCTCCTCCTCCTCCTCCTCCTCCTCCTCCTCCTCCTCCTCCTCCTCCTCCTCTTCCTCCTCCTCCTCCTCTCCTCCTCCTCCTCCTCCTCCTCCTCCTCCTCCACTCCTCCTCCTCTTCCGCCTCCCCTCCTCCTCCTCCTCCTCCTCCTCCTCCTCCTCCCTCCTCCCTACTTAACACCACCACCACCACCACCACCACCACCACCACCACCACCACCGGCATCGTCATCATCATCATCATCATCATCATCATCATCATCATCATCATCATCATCATCATCATCATCAGCAGCAGCAGCATCATCGTCATCAGCAGCAGCATCATCATCACCACCACCATCCTCATCATATTCATCATCATCATCAGCAGCATCAGCATCAGCATCAGCATCAGCATCAGCATCATCATCACCACCACCATCACCATCACCACCACCACCACCACCACCATCAGAATCGTCATCGGCATCAGCATCATCGTCATCATCATCATCAGCAGCAGCACCGTCAACATCATCATCATCAGCATCATCAGCATTAGCATCATTATCATCAGCATCATCATCGGCATCGTCATTATCAGCATCATCATCATCATCATCATCGTCATCAACATCATCAGCATGAGCAGCATCATCAGCATGATCAGCATAAGCATCAGCATCAGCAGCATCCGCATAATCATCATCGTCATCATCCTCGTCATCATCATCAGCATCGTCATCAGCATCATCATCAGCATCATCATTAGCATCTGAATCATCAGCATAATCAGCATCATCAGCAGCAGCATCATCATCATCAGTATCCCCCTCATCCTCCGTCCCCCTCATCCTTCCACTCCACGCACAAACCCTCTCCGTCGCACAACCAGATGTGTCTTTAGGGAAGCCCGGGCGTTCCGCATAAACCTTCTACCAAGTGCATGACCTCGAAGCTTGAAACGTCAAACCACTACACACAACTGAAGAACGTGTAGTCTTCTATATGGGGCTCTCACATTGGCGCCGATCACACTTGCTCAAAGTTAGCGTGGCGAAAGACCCAACCATACGTATGCAGTTGCGAGTGCCGTCGATGTGAGAATCGCCTCCAGTGGAGCTCTCTGTGGGGCCCCGAAGCGCGTGAGGGGTGTGCCGAAATGGGTGGTGCTGCCACTTGCGAACATGGCCACTGGGGCCTTCGGTGGGCCACTGGGGCGGACGCATGCGGGCTGCGCCGCTGGGACATTCGGTGGAGTTCACTGTGGGGCCACGAAACTCGCGAGGGGTGTGCCAAAATGAAATGGGCGGACGCGGGCGGGCCGCGCCACTAGAGCCTTCGGTGGAGCTCCGCGTGGGGCCACGAAAACGCGTGGGGGGTGTGCCGGAATTGGGAAGGCGTCCGCATGCAGGTTGCGCCAACGGGACCTTCGGTGGAGCTCCCTATGGGGCCACGGAACGTGTGATGAGTGTGCCGAGAAGGGTGCGGAGACGCATGCGGGCTGCGCTACTCAAACCTTCGGTGGAGTCCCCTATGGGTCCACGAAACGCGTGAGGGGTGCCAAAATGAATGGGTGCGGGACCGCATGCGGGCTGCGCCACTGATACCTTCGGTGGAGCTCCGTGTGGTGTCACGAAGCGTGTGAGGGGGTGTGCCACAATTGGTGCTGGACCGCATGCGGGCTGCGCCACTGGCACCTTCGGCGGAGCTCCGTGTGGGACCACGAAGCGTGTGTGTGCCGGAATGTGTGCGGGACCGCGTGCGGGCTGCGCCACTGGCACCTTCGGTGGAGCTCCGTGTGCGGCAACGAAACGTACGAGGGGTGTGCCGAAACAAGTGCGGGACAGCATGCGGGCTGGGCCATTGGAGCCTTCGGTGGAGCCCCCATATGGGGCCACGAAACGTGCGAGGGATGCGCCGAAATGGGCGTGTAAACGCATGTGATCACATCCACTGAGCCTTGGGTGGAGCTCCCAATGGGACCCAGAAGCGTGCGGGATGTGCCGAAATGGATATGCGGAGGGCAGATGCAGGGATGGGAGGCGGGAGGAGGGCGAACAGGAAGGTGCGGAAGCGGGGCGCTGCCTCTTCAAAACGAAACAAAAGTCTACTGGATTGTTGGAAAACTCTCTGGGTCAAGGAACCATGTGCAGTTATGGATACCGCGTTGTGGTTACCGATTTCGGTGGAGCCCCTTCTGAGGCCACGAAACATGCGAGGGGGATCCGTAATGGTGATGGTCGGGAGCGCATACGAACTTCTCTTCCTCCTCCTCCTCCTCCTCCTCCGCCTCCTCCTCCTCCTCATCCTCCTCCTCCTCCGCCTCCTCCTCCTCCACCTCCTCCTCCTCCTCCTCATCATCATCATCCTCCTTTTCCTCCTCCTCCTCCTCCTCTTCCTCCTCCTCCTCCTCCTCCTCCTCATCCTCATCCTCATCCTCATCATCCTCCTCCTCCTCGCACCCTCCTCGCTGCCGCAAAGCTGGTGTCCTTTTCTTGCCCTTGCCCGTGACACGGGAAACGAGGTTGTAGCCGCCGACCTCGGCTAGGCACGCCCGTCAAACGGCTGAGGCCGCGTACCCGTCCTCCCCCCCCCTGCCCTTGCCGCAGCCCCGATGATGGATCATCATCGTCGTCATCGTAGTGGTCATCGTCGACGTCATCGTCATCGCAGTCGTCATCGTGGTCACCGTCCTCGTTCCGTCCTCCCCCCCCCCGTCCCAGTCATCCTTCCAATTACCAATGCTCTCCTCCCTCGTCTCCTCCAGCTCGGTCCCCCGTTACTACTACCACCGCATCCAGTCCCCATCCGTCATCCCGTCCTCTTATTTCCTCTCTCCCCATCCATACTGCTAGTCCTCCTCATCCTTCTCCTCCTCCTCCTCCTCCTCCTCCTCCTCAGCACTGTTCAAGTCATCCTCATACGTGCAAATTGTCCTCCTCGCGCTTCCGCATGTCAATCCTCCCTCACCTCTTTAGACATGCGTTTTGTTTTCGCCATCCTCGCTCTGTTCCTCCAGCTCGCTTGATGCCATCCGCATCACTTGACCGCCCCTGAAGCCCGCGCCGCTGGTTTACCATAGGATGGGCAGCAGGCGGTGACGATGCGGACCTACCAGGCATAAAAGAGCAGCGCGACGATGAAGGGAGAAGGGCGCATCTTCTTCCTCTTCCTCCATTCCTGGGGGGGCATCCTGGGGGCCTCTGGGGGCACCGTGGGGGGCATCCTGGGGGCCTCTTGGGGGCACCCTGGGGGGCACCCTGGGGGGGCATCCTGGGGGGCATCCTGGGGGGCTTCTGCCTTTGGGGGGCATCCTGGGGGCCTCTTGGGTCTTCCTGGCCACCTTTTGGGGCCCTCTTGGGGCACCCTTGGGAGCCTTGGGGGCCATCTTTGGGCCATCTTGGGTGAGAACGATCACAGGGAAAGGGGGGAGGGGGGGGGGGGGGCTAATTAGGGCCCCCCTCTCTTGAGGCCAAAATGATGCCAAAACCTTCGAAAAAACAGTGGTTGTGGCTCCCTCGCCGAGGCCGTTTTGGACGCTCCGACACCTCGCGAAACCCCCTGCCCAGGTCCATGGGGATGGGGTAGGGGGAGGGCTAAACCCTTCCCCGAAGGGGAAGAAGGAGGGGTGGAAGAGGAAACTCCCTAAACCACCGACGCCCAGAGGGCTGGTGGGATTAGCAGCAGCAGCACCACCACCACCACGACGATCATCATCAGCAGCATCAGCACCATCACTATCAGCATCAGCAACATCAGCAGCAGCGACATCAACATCAACATCATCATCATGAACACCCTGATCATCTGCGTCGTCATCATATTCATCATCATGATCAACACAATTACCACTATGAACACCAAAAAAAACATCATCTTCATCAGCATGATCAACATCATAATCATCATCACCGGCATCAGCACCAACGCCATCATCAACAGCAGCATCATGCTCATCTTCATCAGCACCCGAGCCATCACCATCATCAGCACCAGCGCACCAGCATCAGCATCAGCACCATCCGCGTCTTCCTTGGCATACCGACATTGTCATCGCAACCGACATCGCCAACAACAGCAGCATCAGTAATGTTCAAAGAGCGCGTTTCATGGGCGCTTGCCTCGGGGACATTCGGCGGCGCGTTTTCGAACCGGGGGGGGGGCCACCTCCCCCCCAAACACTCGGCGCCGTCGATCGGAACCAGGGGGACTCCCCTCCCCCCCAACCCTCGCCCCACCCGACCCCCCCTCCCCCTCCCCCTCCCAAAAAAGGGGGGGTTCAACACCCCCCCCAGGCGCCTGTCGGCCGCCAGCAGAGCCGACAGTGTGGACGCAGCGACGATGACCAGAGGCAGCGCAGGGGGAGGTGAGGAGGGGGGGTTGGAAACCCCCCCCGCGCCGGCGCCAGCGCCGGCGCCGGCGGGGACGCAGCGCAGCGACGATTACCACCACTACCAGCACCACCAACACTACCACCACCACCACCACCACCATCACCTCAACCCACAACCACCACCACCAACCCACCTCACAAACACCAGCACCACCACCGCAGCCACCACCACCACAACCACCACCACCACAACTCACCACCACCACCACCACCACCACCACCACCACAAAAACCCGCCGCCACTACCACCACCACCACCACCACAATCTACCACACCACCACCACCACCGCTACAACCACTACCACTACCAGCAGCACAACCCACCACCACCACAAGTACAAACCACCACACCACCACCACCATTACCGCCACAACCACCACCACCAGCACCACCTCCACAATTCACCGGCACCACCACAATCCACCACCACCACCACCAACACTAAAAACCACCACCACACCACAATCAAACCACCAGCACCACCACCACAAACCACCACCACACCACCACCAAACCACCACCACCACCACCATCACCCTCCACCACAACCACAACCACCGCCACCACCATCACAACCACCACCACAACAACCACCACCACCGCCACCACCACCATCACAACCCACCACCACCACCACCGTCGTCCTCGTCGCCGCTCCCCGCCGCCGCCGCCCGCCGCCGCAGGCGCCAGCGCCGGCCCAGAAAAGAAAGTCGTCGTCCCCGCCGCCGCCGCCAGCCGCCGCCGACGCAGGCGCCGGCCCAAGGAGATGGAGAGCGGAGAAGTGTAGGGGAGGAGGGGGAGGGGTGGTTCGAACCCCCCCCCTCCATCCAACGGGGGGGGGGGGGTCGGGTTCCAAAACCCCCCCCCCTCCCTCCAAGCGACCACAGAACGCGCTCTTTCGTAATATTGAGACGGATCGCTCTTGCCTGATCGCTCCTCTGAAATCGGGGGTGAAGAACACGGCCCCTGTAGGGCCCCAGCTCTTCACCCCTTACCACCCGCGCGAGACCACAGGTCGGGCGTGCGGATCGGGTCGGCCCCTCGCTGGGGCGGTCGGGTCGGGTCGGGTCGGGTCCGACTGGGCCCTGCCTCGGGCGGTCGGGTCCTGACGGGCGGTCCCCAGCTCGGGCGGCTGGGCCAGGTCGAAGAGAACAACGCGCGGGAGGAGGGAGGAGGAATGTAGGGAAACGACCTCTATATACACCGACGTGTTTCCCGACCCTGCGCTGAAATTCGCACAGGAACGCGAATTCTGGTGTATACGGGATCCTGGTGTATACATGTTTCGTCGTTTTCCCGGGACATCGGGGAAAAAGGTATACACCACACCACCCCAGCGCCGTCCCCGACCCTCAAAAAGTCCTGGGATTCCAAAAACAGCCCGCTACTGGCAATGGATACGTTCCAGTGTCCGAGGATGAGGCAGCGAAGAAGGAAGGGACGCAGGGAGAGGGAGGCAGAGGGAGGGAGAAGGGAGGAGCAGGGAGGGGCCCGCAGCAGGCGTTGTGTTCAAAGGGCTTGAAAAACCGAAGGAAGTACAAGCCTCACGACAGATGGATCCGGGAGTGGCAAGGGCACAGCTACTGAGCATGTGGGCCAATTCAATTGTGCGAAAGTCTCTGGCGAGAGCGCGATCTCTGGCTGGTTGCGAAGACGTCCGGCCAGAGCTCGGCTCCCGAAAATCAAAGGTACAGGGAAGCATCGGGCGAGAGCTCGCCACTCCTCAGCACACGGTCCAGAAATGGCGGGCGAGAGCCAGAGCCCAACAGCACCGCGTGAGCAGGAAGGCCATCCTCGGCAAAGAGCCAAGCGCGAGCGCCGAGGGGCGCTCTTCAGTGGAGGAGAAGCAGCGAGCATCGGCCCGGCGAGGGGGGATCGACAGCAACGAGTACCGATCGTTCTCCATATGTGAAACCCCAACAGTGCACATCTACGAGCATGTGACCAAAAACTCCGCTCTGGCACCCATACGTTCCTCCCTCTCTTCCGTAGCCGCCCTCAAAAATCGACGGGCGCACCCCGCTCATGGCGAATGCCTGTCACACCGCTTCCTGGGTGAACCCAGACAAAAAAGGGCGGGCGGGTCGGCCGAGCGGACCCAAACGAGCAGGTCGGGCGGGCGGCTTGGACGGGCGAGGTGAAGCGGGCGTGCGGGCATCCAAGCAAGCGGACGGGAACCCCCCACGGGCGGGTCGGGCGGGCAGACCCAGACGGGCGGGGCGGGCCGGCGGGACATTCAAACAGGTGTGCGGGTGAAGAGGAAGGCCCGGGCGGGAACGCGATAGTGGCGGGAGCGCGGTCGCTGACTAAACGATCGACTCCCAAGTAGTAGGAGCGCAAATCTGAGCAAGTTGTACAGAGATCTCAAGAGAGAACTGCCTGAATTGACTAGATGAGTTGACAAGATAGCTGACTTGTTACAGCGATTCCTGATTGAGTTGACAAGATGTCTCGAGCAAGAGCACGGTTCCTGAGCAGCGAGAACAGCGCGAGAACATTGACAAGATGTCTCTGGCGAGAGCACGATTGTTTCGTGAATTGCACGGGTGCCTGGAACGAGAACACGATGCCTGACTAATGTGCGAGGAAGTCTCAAGCGAGAGATGCTATCGTTGTTGCTGTCGAGGGGCGGGCCAAGGGCACAGTTTGGCGCCCAAGACCATCATCGACACGAAAAAAAAGTGCAAGAGACGATCGAGGAAAAATTGGTAGACAAAATTTGAACAAAATCCTCCCTTCTCCCTCGCTCGATCCCACACGAGCGCCCTCGCGCGACTTTCTGGGCGGAGTCCGACCAGGGAAGCCGGCAGAACACAAATCCGCCGACCCTGTCGGCGTGTGTGAGGGGCTTTTCCGTTCGATTCGTGCTTTTCGGTTGGAGTCGTCGTCTCTGCCCTCCTCTGTTCCATTTGCCTGGGCCCTCTGCCTCATACGCGCCGTCCAAAGCAGAATTGAACAACAGGAGTGGAATCGAAGGGAAGCCCCTTCCCTTCCCTTTGAGCCCTTTCCCGCGCTGGGGCGGGGGGTTCCCGGGGGGGGGGTCCCGGGGGGGGGTCCCGGGGGGGGTCCCCGGGGAGTGGCCCCGGGGGGTTCGGGGCGGGGTCGCCACCGAGATGCGCTTTCCCCCGCGCGATTCCGACACCC